TGTGTGTGTGTGTGTGTGTGTGTGTGTGTGTTTTTGTTTGTTTTTTTTGATTACTCCATTTTGTTATTTTAAGCTGCAGTACTGTGTGCTGTTGGAAAAGCTTAACAGTCACTGTTGTTATGCATGTAAAATACAGGATTTACACTTCAAGTGTAAAAATATGCTTTACGTAGTGCTTAAAGGCGTATAGAAGGAGGTCAAATGTGAGCTGTGATGCTGCTTGTGTAGACAGCTATTAACATGGTTGCGTAGCATCTGCTTACATTTAAAGTGAAGTGAACATTTTAAAGTATCCATCCAGCCCCCCAGTTGGTTAGTCAACTCTTTGCTTAGCTTGAGTGTTCCCTCATCCAAAACTGCTGAGACGCTCTGAGCAGGAAAACCAGCTGACCTCTGTTGTCCTGGTTAATAGGATCACAGTAAAATCATGATCATGATTCCATTTTGCCACAACAATCTTGTAGTGAAAATCTGATGTTGTGACAATTCTAATATATAGTGTATATAAAAGGAGTCCAGAGTGTGACCAAAAATCTGTGAAGTACAACTTCAAATTTTCATTGGTTCCACTGGTGTGCCTGACAGTCTTTGGGCGGCCTGACCAGGTACATACAGTCACTCGACTCGGTTCCAACTGAGATCAGTTTGACATCAGAACACCGTATTTCAGTCTTTTCTAACCAGTTTTTGGTCAGACATCTGCCTGGGCTAACTGTGCACTGCTGTCCAGTAGCATCTACTGAGGTGTGTGAGGCATTTATGGAACCTTGGCTCATTGTAGTGTCTAGTAATGCATCTTAGACTTTCAGCCAGCATCAGTTACTTAGAGCATCTAGTAGTCTGCACATTGAGGCATTTAGGGAACGTGGGCAAACTGTAGCTTAGGAACGCTCACCTGGGTTACACTCTCCAGTTTAAATTGCCTGTCAGCATGCGCATCAGTCTCACCAGCACTCAACCAGCGAGATGTGATAAAAACAGGAAACATGAAACATTGCATTTATTTCAAATAGGGATTTTGCTAAGGGAGCACCAACATTTCAAATTTCTTCTTGTTCAACTGTTAACTGTGTCTGTCCCTCCACCCTCAGATCCACCTCCAGTTCCCCATGGAGTTTGAGTTCAGTCAGTACTACCTGAAGTTCTTGGCCTACCACTATGTGTCCAATCGCTTCCGCACGTTCCTGCTTGACTCGGACTACGAACGCATTGAGCTGGGTAAGCAGAGGCTGTCGGTGTTGTGAGTTTATTCACCAGGTCATGGTAGAGTTCTAAGTTCCTGATGATCACTCTGTGTGCAGGAGTGCTGTATGAGGAGAAAGGAGAGAGGAAGAGTCCTCAGGTGTGCAAGTCTGTGTGGGATTACATCGACAGACTCAACAAGAAAACACCCATCTTCTACAACTACATGTTCGCTCCTGAAGACGACGAGGTGAGAGCACTACAGAGTCATGCAGCAGCTGCTTTGATCAGTCAGGACAGAGTTCTAAGAAACTTTGGCATGAAATGTGGTGTCAAAGTGATCACCACAGACTGACTGCAGCACCTGGAAGACTAGATAAAGTCTATAATGGATGTATTTGAGTAATTCTAGTGATGAAGTTGACTCGCGTTAAAGTGAGCTTTTGTGTTCCAGGTGCTGCGACCGTACACCTTCATCTCCAACCTGAAGGTGTGGGACTTCTACATGGAGGAGACTCTGTCGGAGGGGCCGTCCTACGACTGGGAGCTGAGGGGCCGGCAGGAACGCATAGCAGAGGAGACGACTGAGAAACCTGAAACCACTGGCCCTAAATCGCAGCGGCGCATCGTGTGGCCATGTTACGACAGCCTGAGTAAGGCAGTGCCTGACGCCATCACCAAGCTGCTGCAGGACCTGCAGAATCTGGAGGCTGAGCTTGGACAGACGTCGGAGAAGTGGAAGGACACATGGGATAAAATCAAGACCACGCAGAGGACTGAAACCAAACTGGAGAGCAAGGTAAGACCCTGGATTAATTTCCACTAACAAAAAAAATCTTTCTGTTTTGTAGCTGTAGAACTGTACATTTTCAGCTCTGTTAACTGACTCCTTCTTGTGCAGTTAGGAATTTCAAGCCTTCCTCATATTAACTGTCACATATACTCGGTTATTTCAAAAAACTCAAGCTGGAGTTATGTGACTCAAAAGCATTGTCAGCATAGAAATGTGAAAAAAAAATAATGTTGAGCATATTTGCACCATGAGGTCTGTAAATATGGAGATGCATTTGTCGAAAATGTTTTGCGTCGACATCTTGTGGTAAAACAGTAGAATGCACGTAAGGAATCAATGTCACAGACTTTGCTGTTCACATGTTTCCTATACAAGTCCTGCAGCTTTTGTTTGCTGCTGACTCTAAACCTAAAAACCTGCTGGCTGATTTGAAACGTATGTAATCTTTGAAGTATCGCAAGAAACTGAGCCAGAGACTAAAACAGAAAGAATTGTCTCATTTTTTGCTTTCCCAACAGTTCTTGAACGTATCATGTGTGAGCTGCAGTTCTGTTATGAAAACTAACCAAGTCCAAGCTTAAAATTGGAATATTTTATCAGAATCACTTATTCTACATGTCGTGTTCAAACTACTTCCAAAAATAAACCATTTGCATTTATGTGAAAAATCCTGAGATTGAAGAGAGCTTGTCTTTAATTGTGTTCATTATGGTACATAAAGAAACTTGCCCAGATGTGTTTGATATGAGCACGATGTAACAGTGAGACTGGTGTCTGGTTTTGCCATCAGACTTGAAGTATTTTCACAACTGACTGTAGATCCATTTAAGTGAGTTCTGAAAGTCAAGACTGATTTCACCCATCACATGCCGATACTACTGCCTCTGTCTGATTGTTTTCTATGATTCCTCCACAGCCGTCTTTCTCCAGCTCCCTGCTGATGTCGTCCAACCTAAGCCACCAGCGGCGTTCTCAGGGCGTCTACCTGCAGGAGAGCGGTGTGGGGTCCTCCATCAACCTGGCTCTGGACTGTGAGGCTAGTGCCACCTCCACGCCTGTCGCCGGCCGGCCGAGCACCAGCACGCTGTATAGCCAGTTCCAGAGCTCGGAGAGCGAGAACAGGTCTGTACCCACTTCTGTGGGCACTTACAGGAGGAATTTGTAATGTTTTAACAGCCCACCCTGCTGTAGTGTCCTTGAGAAAAACACCACGACTCCCAGCTCTGCTGCTGTGACGGCAGACCGTCTGTGACGGAAGGCAGCAGAGCTGGGAGAACAGTGCAGCTCTGCTTGTTTTCACCAAAACAGCAGTAGTTTGCCAGAGATAGTCTGATGTTTGAAGATTATGTGACATTTAAGGTGATCAGTCAGACTGTGGGCCAACACATTCAGAAAAGACTGTCATACCTCAGAAGTGTCATAGTGTCCGATAAATCCTCCAAACATGTCTTCACTTGTGTTCTGTTCTTCTCTCACCAGGAGTTTTGAAGGTATTCTGTTCAAGAAAGGGGCGCTGTTGAAACCATGGAAACCACGATGGTTTGTGCTGGATAAGACCAAACATCAGGTAAGAGTTGGTTTGTTTTAAAGTGAAACCTCTTTATTGGCTTAAACTATTCCCATCAGAATCCTGTTTGGTTTGAGTCTTTCGTCTGTACCTCGGTCTCACAATGTGTCTCCGTACCCAGCTGAGATACTACGAAACCAGACAGGACAAGGAGTGTAAAGGGGTGATCGAGCTTGCCGACGTGGAGTCTGTCACAGCAGGAACACCTGCCATGGGAGCGCCGAAAAACATTGAGGAGAAAGCCTTCTTTGATGTGAGTTCGCCGACATGTCATGTATAACCAGCTTGGCAGCACAAACACATTATTCCAAGCTGGTTTCTCTCGCATCCCAGTGTCAGAATTAAAAAGCTTTTGAAGTTGGCTTTTATTATTACTTCACAAAGAATAAAAATAAATTCAAAATCCAGATTTAAATATGGCCGCTGTCACCACCGAAGTAGCCTCCTGGTGCAGTCATACACCGCTCACAGTGCTCCCGGAACGCTCCCTTCAACTTGACTTTCATTTATGGCAAGAGGGAAAAGTCACAGGGAGCCAAATGTAGGAAGCAGAGTGGATGGATCAACTCCATTGGTGTTGTTGTGGCCAAAAGCAAAAGCAGTTTCTTAATTTAAATAGTGTCTGTTTGCCATGACACCACAATTCAGGTCGTTTGTGCTGAATATTATTATATTATTATATTTTATAATATAAATTATTATATTATATTAATATTATTATTATAATATTATAATATTATTATTACTGAATATATCATCTACCTGCTTCAGAGAGCCCACTCTCATCTGGACCAGTCAGGCAGCACTTTGAGGGTCATGTTCTTTGATTTCTCAAGTGCCTTCAATACTATTCAGCCTGCTTTACTATGTGAGAAGCTCCATAACTTCCAGGTGGATCCTTCCACAACCACTTGGATTTATGACTACCTAACAAACAGACCACAGTTTGTAAGACTGAAAGGTTGTGTGTCTGAGATGGTAGTCAGCAGCACTGGAGCACCACAAGGAACTGTACTCTCACCATTCCTCTTCACACTGTACACCTCAGAGTTCCAGTACAACTCTGAGTCCTGTCATCTGCAGAAGTACTCTGATGACTCTGCAGTTGTGGGGTGTATCAGTGATGGACAAGAAGCTGAGTACAGGGAACTGGTCAGTCAGTTTGTGAAATGGTGTGGTAACAATCACCTCATCTTAAATACCAGCAAGACTAAAGAGATGATTGTTGACTTCAGGAGGAGCAAGAATAAGCAGCATAGTCTTGTCTACATCCTGGGAGAGGAGGTGGAGGTGGTGGAGAATTACAAATATCTTGGAGTTCAGCTGGACAACAGACTAGACTGGAAATGCAACACTGACTACATCTACAAGAAAGGTCAGAGCAGACTCTACTTCTTAAGGAAGCTGAGATCATTCAGTGTCTGCACCAAGATGTTGCAGATCTTCTATAAGTCTGTTGTGGAAAGTGCAATCAGCTTTGCAGCCATCTGCTGGGGCAGTAGCATCAGAACCAGAGACTTAAAGAAGCTAAACAAGCTGATCAAGAAAGCTGGTTCTGTGCTGGGGATAACTCTGGAACCACTGGAGCTGATTGTTCAAAAAAGAATGCTGCACAAGATGATGAAGATGATGGAGGATTCTTCTCACCCTCTCCACAACACAGTGAAGAACCAACAGAGTGTGTTTAGTGGGAGGCTGCGTCAACTTCACTGTAGAACGGAGAGATACAGGAGTTCCTTCCTGCCAACAGCCATCACTTTAAAAAACAAATCCAACTGACTGAATAATTATTATTGTTGTATATAATATATGTTATATTGATTTAAAAAAAAAAAAAAAAAAAAAAGAAAGGTGAGCTTTTACAGGATTGAATTTCCCTTCTGGGATGAATAAAGTATTTTTCATTTCATTTCATTTCATTTCATATTGTCCCGCAGACACTTCAGGATGTCACAGCAGAACTTTGTGCTGACAGTCTTTTTAGGATGAACAACCTCACGAATATCGTTCCTTCTCCAGTCTTGGAAACTGCAGCTCTTTCACTTCCTTCTCTTGTGGTAGCTGCAGGCCCACCTCTCATTGTCGTGATGATCCTCCATATGAAGGTTGGATCATCCAGCTGACTGACACAGAATGTGATGTTTGCTCTCTGAAAGTTTGTGGAGAAATCACAGATGTGCACGGACCAGTGGTCACAGAAACACATGGAACACAAATGCAGTGTAGCATGGTCTCCTTGTGACTCGTGAGTTACTGCTTTCACATGTGAGCGTCACCTTCCATGTATGTGCACCACGGACAGTCTCAGAATGTTTGGGTCACCCCATAGATATATTTTCAGGAAAGCGTTAACTAATGAAACCAGCTAAATTGACTGGAGTGTGACCATGTGGACATTAGACTGTAAATCACAGCCTCTTCACCTCAGACAGTCGACTCTACTTCTATTCATCAAGTTGAATATATTGTAGCTGTCATAAAGTCCTGATATATATGATTAATATGATGGCTTTGTTTTACTTATTAGATTTTACCTAGAAATCACAATTATGTCTTTCAGTTGCATATTGTTGTCTTAGAAAATTCTAAATATACTTTTTTTTAGGATCTAAAACCAAAAAGAGGATAAAATAGTCACAGTTGACAAACTGTTGGTTCAATAAAAAAACTTAAAATGATTCTCAAAGTGGATGAATAAGTCATTTCATGCTGTACATGCAGTGAACGATTCTTGACATTGAACCAAAACTTGACGCTTCCCATCTTTAATGTCAACCGTCCTGTTACCGGTAACTGTAGTTTACTTGTTTTTCTGTTCTTTCAGCTCAAGACGACCAAACGAGTGTACAACTTCTGTGCCCAGGACAGCCTGAACGCACAGCTGTGGATGGACAGTGTTCAGAGCTGCCTGTCAGATGCCTAAAGACAAGGCGGGACTCTTTCAGGATTAAAAGCAACCTTGAACGAATGAGCAGTTCTGCGGCACCTGACGGACATTTTTGCTGGCCAGTCCCAGCAGAACAGGGAGGAGTAGGGGCCTTTCACCACTAAAGCTCTGTTCTGTTCTCTAGTGTTGAACTAATAACCCTGCGTCACAACGTTTCAGTGTTTTTGTTATAAAAAAAATAAAATAATGAAAAAGAAAAAAAGAAATAAAACGTCCCAGAAGAACCACTCGCTGTCATAGCTGCAGCCTCTCACCTCCCTGACAGTCTGACCACTATGTGCGCTGGATGTCTGTATGCACAAAAACGATGCATATTAAAGCACGTTGTTGCGTTTCTGTGAGGCGTCCTGCAGCTCAGACCAGCATGAAGATCCTTCCAGACCCTCCACCTGTAAACCTCTACCCGCTGCCCCTACTACTAACCCTGCTCACCATAAACAACACTTTGGGGAGGAATGATGGAGGAGCTGCAGTCGGCCCGGCTGCCTACAGAACTCGTGAGACTTGCTCCTTAAGAAGGATGTAAAAGACTGACTGGTGGGTCGACGGACCAAACGAGCCTCGAGGAACAAGAGGTCCTTTGAGGCCTCTCACTGCCTGATGGAGCCCACTCAGTGAATGCAGAGGAGGAGGAGCATGTAGGGGGAGGGGGGGCTCATCAACGCTTCATGAAGGATTTTCTTTTTATTTTCCTTTTCCAAAATCTCAAATTTGTTCCAGAAAGAGATCAACGCTCATCAGCTGTCCTCAGCAGGTGGCGACATACTGTGAAAGCCATGAACCATTCGTAGAGCTCAAACCAGGAGAGCCGGTGGGAGATTAGAGCCCGTCAGGTATTGAGAGTGTCGGTGAACCTTCACTGAGAGTGTTTACAAAGTAGATGAAACTTCCCTCACTAAGCTAAACTCTACGCTGCAGCCACAATTTTAACCAGCCACTATTAACAGCTCATATTTCTTCACTTCAGACTTTTAAGGGATGCCGAAGGAAAAAGGAGGGATTTATTTTAGTAGTGATGTCATAAAACAATCTAGAGAAGGAGATCTGGAAGGTTTACAAGAGGGATACTAATAAACAGTGATATTATGGCATGCGACAGTTGTAAGGGATGGGCATGGACTCGCCACAGTGTACCGAGCGTTGGAAACAGGATGTTTGTTAAAGAAAAATTCTGCTATTTTTGAGCTGTAGTTTCATATTTGTGCCTGTTCTGACTGTGGACTCTGCTAGATTCACTTTCAGCTTCTCTGACTGCTACTGAGGAGTATTCTAGGGGTCGACTGACAGTATCAGGACAGATACCAATTATCAGTAATCATTGATCACTGTAATGTGGCCAATCTGGTAATTGATTGATCCCTTAGTGCACAGCAGCGTCAACCAGCCAAAGCGTTCCTAACACACAGATCAATTTAAATGCTTCTCTATTGAACTCATGTTGAACTCATGTTTAGCTACTGTTGCTAAATGCAAGCCAGTTTGATGAGCTGACCAGATTCTGCTGGAGAGCTGCTTGATGGACTGCTGCTGCCAGACACATGCAAACAAACTGGTGTGCAAACGAACAGGTAGCTCGTCTGGTTAGCTGCCGTAGCGAATCCATGGAGCCACAGTCTGTTTGTTTGGGCTCTGGCAAGCCTTTCAAATGACTTCGAAAAATCTATCAGGAGATTTGCTCTGTTTGTCCTGATGTCTTGTAAAACAAGCATTTCCAAAACTTTTCACAGGCTAAGAAAAACAGTATTACTGGAGCATGTTGACAATGCTTTGTTGTGTAGCTAATCCCTGAAGCTGGACTCACTGCAGGAGTTTCTGAGCTGATTCATTCCGTTTCACCCCTCCCAACAGTCAGAGGATAAATCAGGACCTGATTACCCAGTAATGTGAGGGGTTCACAGATCAGTCTGAAACCTCCTGAACTGCTCAGGCTTATCAGGGCAAACATGTCTGATATTTCTAAGCTAAAATCAGGATGGTTAGATTGTTACAGAAGTGCAAGGAGCTACAAAACTGAAAAACAGAACAACTACGTTGACCACATCTCCCAAACCATTTAGCCCTCTGCATTTGTTTTATCTCGCTGCTAATTATTATTACCGTTACAGCAAGTTGTTGTTCCACAGACTCCATTTTATTTCCATCTGCTTCCCCATGAGATCTCAGGAGGTGCTGCTCTGCTCCCTGATTGTTCCCTCTGGCCCAGTAGCCTCAGTATCCTGTAGTTTGTGATGTACTGTTGTAGTGTGCAATCTGAGATTAGAGCAGGAAACCTGTGAAGTTTCTCCTCATGTGTCTGATGCAATCTGATTACAAAATCTCTTAGAGTTTCAAAACTCCTGCAGTGTGAGTCTGACCTAAGTAAGACTGATTTAACAGTAGAATTTCCTCAACCCGTGAAGGAACTCTTTCATTTCTTCTAAAACATGACCATTATTGGGAGAGCATGGTGATGAGTGCAAGTTAATCCTGAGCCATTTGTCAGAGAGGAAACACGAACATGACAAGAGTTTTAAAAATGCCACAGTTTTCCTTTAATGACGTACCAGGTTCCACCACGTCCACTCGCTCTGGGTCTCAGACGTGAATCTGACGGAGGGGCTGTTTCAGATGCAGCACCGGCTTGTACATAGACGAGTCTACGCCTGCTAGTTCTAGAGGATCAGTATGTTTAGCTAGAAGGTTTCAAACTTCAGGTCACTTGTTTAATGTCAGTGGTTTGTCCGAGTGCCCCCCACTTCTCCACTCACACGAACCACTCTGACCCACATGTGTTAACACAAACCTGCTCTGTAAAATACGGTTCTACTGCTGTCTTTGAACATAAAATTTGAAATTGTAGATTTTTTTTGTCTAATAACTCCTTTGTATATACTACTCCAGATTTGTATGTAACGTTTATGGTAGTAATTTATTTAACTTGTCTCCTCAGTAAAAAAAGTTCCTCAAACACCACTTTATTTTTAAATTAGGAATTCAATGTGCCATTTGTTTATTTCTTTATTAATGTGACTAATGCTTTTTTGTTGTTGTTGTTTTTTTGAAAATGTACAAGTAAACCCTTGATGTCTTCTTTTCTTTTTTGTAAACACAGTTGTCCTTACACAACACAAACCATTAATGCAAAAGTGGAAATGGTGTGTTAGTGGCAGAGGGCTGCTTTTTAAAGGTCGGTTGGATTTTACTGTGTTGCTCACACACAGTGGTGGGATGTTCTGGATGTAGATTACAGTCTAAATAAATGTCAGACATGTGAAGTGTTCCTGGTGCTGGGTTCTGCTGACTGGCCTGATGTTGGCTCAGCACACTCCATCTGGGTCCAGTAAATAGTCAGTGACGAGATACAGAAATGTTAATTCTTTGGGCTATAGTGTGATTAACTGCTGAAAAACAGGATAAAGATGCATTGAGTGGTTTAAAGTTTCAGGTGTTTTCCTCCTGACACAGTCACAGTGTACTAACAGGCCTACATGTTGACGTCATAGTTTATCAAAAGTTTTCTGAATTAATTGAGTTATTTGATTTACTGGTAAAGAAAACTAGTAAATACTCCCATTTCTTGCTCACTTATCTCAGAGGGAAGCAACTTAACTGTTCCTGTGAATAATTTTTCAGTGTTTTTCTAATAAAATAGAATACAGCTGTTACTGTTATAGTCAGGATTTCCTGACAGTAGCTGACTGTGTGTGGACTTATAAGCATGCTGATAATGTTAAACCCTCACTCTGTTCACAGCAGCACCACTGCTCTGTTCCGCAGGTCAGCTGACCAACAAAACTAAAAAGTACAACATTGCGTTCACACGCAGTTAAGACTCAGGTGACCTTGTGCTCCTTAAAATAATCTTCCGCCGAGGACCAGATGGACCGAAGCGACAGCAGGAGTCTCTGCAGCAGTCAGAACCAGCCTGTGGGAAACGCTCAGTGTGTCCTTGTTTTGACTGCAGTCTATGTTCAGTCGGCCTCAGCTCACCTTTTCACTCAAGTTTACTCATCTCTCCGTGGTAACGCTCTACAACACACAATTGCTACATTAACCACAACAATATGACATTTTTATTTATTTGGGGTTTTTTTGTTTTTGTTTTTTTTTAAATAGAAATTACCTTCTGAGCCGGGTTATGTTGTCAATCATGTCGATATAGTTTTTAGAATCCAAATAAAAACTGTGGGTTTAAATGTTCACCTGTGTCCTGGAAGATTGTCTCACTTTCACCACATTGTCCCTCAGAAACTTATTTATCTGATCATGTAAAAACTTCTCTTCATGCTGGTGTACATTGGGACATTCCCTCCTAAAGCAACTAAGGTGAATTGTAACCTTTGTAATACAGCTCCTATATTCAGTCACCTTGTGGCTGCTTATTTTTAACAAACCACATGGCTGTTCTGCATAGTCAAAAATATTACTTTTTTCACAAAGGTAATCCACTTCCCCCCCTTCCTTTAACCCTCTGAACCCCAAAACCCATTGGGTTATGAAAATGCATGTGGAATTTTTACCACTTGTCAAAATTGCACGATTTCTCAAAGCTAAAAACTGTAAGAATAGACGTAAGTTTTGGATTTTTAACTTGACAATGGCCCTCAATGTTTCTATCTGTAAAATAATCCAAATTTAAGCCTATAGTTGTGACAGCTGCCATGGTGATGGTGTCGCGCATAGACGCAGCGCCCCCTTCAGGAGACAACAAAAGTGAACGTTTTGTGTGTCTTGTCTATCCCAGACGTTCATTTCGCAAAACTTACAGCTGGGAGACTTTTCTGGGCGTCAGGACAGTGAACGGCTGGAATTGAGGCGATCGGTTGTGATGTGGACATACTATACCAACAGTCCGATCGGAGACTATGTCGGCAGTTACCGAGAGAGAAGGAAGGAAACGGTACGAACATAAACAAAGGAGGAGGAAGAGGAGGGATCCATGCTAGGCTAAAGGCTAACCCCTCCAGACCAGCAGGATCCATGCTAGGCTAAAGGCTAACCCCTCCAGACCAGCAGGATCCATGCTAGGCTAAAGGCTAACCCCTCCAGACCAGCAGGAGCCATGCTAGGCTAAAGGCTAACCCCTCCAGACCAGACGAGCTACGTTTGCTGAGAGAAACCCTCAGAGAGTGGAGGGACTGCTGTGTGTCTGCTTTAACAGGAACATGGCTCCATGACAGCATCCCAGACAGACAGACAGCTGGAGGGGATGCAGACAGACAGACAGACAGACAGACAGACAGCTAGCTCTGGACAGCATCTGCAGCTTCACCATCGTCACACCATCATGTGTGTCTTTGTGTCCCTGAAGACCTACCAGGAGCTGAAGAGGTTCACCATGGTCAAGGAATGGCAGCGCACATGGAGGCAGCGACAGTGAACGTTTCCTGTCTATCCCAGACTTTCATTCAGCAAAACTTGCTGGTTGAATGATCCTGAAGAAAGGCTCTCTCATTCTGCCTGTACTACCGTGTATGTACAGCAAAATGACAATAAACCTGATTTGATTTTGATTTGATTTTATCAATTTACATTTCTAATTCAGAAATTTAACCATAAAAAAACCAAAAACTTCTGCACAACCAACACAGTATGACTGATGGAGCGACGGCCAACAGAGAAGAGAGTAGAAGTGTGCATAGTTATACATCTACAGTCTGTTTCCTGTACTAATAACACTTGTGGGCACTTGGGAAAATGTACATGTTGCTACCTTTTTTTCTTTTTTTGTAAAATAAAAAGGTCATTTTTCATTTTTTATAATCTATGGCATCATAACTTTGTTGTCCTTCATAGAAGACATTTCTGAATTTTCTCTACTTCTTCATTGTTGTTCTGTTTCGAGAGAGGTGCAGGACTTTATTCTGCAGTGAAAAATGAGCCACAGTGAGTAAAAATGTGTCAGGAGCAAAACGACAAACTAGCTGGAGTACAGCGGGTTAAAGACTAAAACATGTTTAAGTACACACCTATGCTGCCCTTGTGCTACTTGAACCTTCAGCAGCTCTGTGGCTTCGCTGCATCCTATACTGAGTGGACCTGAAGCTGCCTGACCGGCCTGTGAAGCCCTTTTCAGCTTTGACTGACATCCTTCCTTCATCCTTCCGTCCTGCCAGCTGACAGATGTTGGAGCGGACCAACGACACCTGAACTATTCTGGAGTATGAAGCTCAACATCATTCAGTGAGTGGAGGCATAATTGCCAAAAAGAACTGAAAACACCTGCAGAGACCTTTAGTCGTACAAACATGAACAGGCAGCTGTGTCTTTGTAGAGATGGAAACACAACAATCATGCTGGCGAAGCAGAGCTTTTGGCATTAATGTGGTCAACCAGACATTTTTAATTTTAAATGTTTTAACAATGATCATAGAACCTGATCGCTGTCAAATGATTTAAGTACATCAAAGAGGCCTAGAGCTCCGCAGAACCCAGACCTGCACTCCTTCCAATCCTGCTGCTCAGAAAGAAAATAAAATTAAACTTAAAAAAAAAAAAAAAAAAGGGGGGGGGGGGCATACAGCGTCACTCTTACCAGATGCCACTCTCGCCCTGTGAGTAAGTGCTTGGTGGAGAGTGAGAGAGAAAAAAAGGAACAGACAACAATAGTAATCTCAAGATTGCTTGTAAAATTCCTTTTAAATGTAGATAATATTTGTATATAGGTAGATAATGTTTGGTTGATTTAAGGGGGATAGCAATAAGAACTTAAAGGTCAATACAATCAGAAGGTCTTAGCTCACTAGCTAGGTCAACAGAGAACCGGTTATACATGCACTAAAAAAAAGAAAAAAAAAACAGTAAAAATCAGAAACCTCAACTTGAGATTATATCCAAATTTGTTTGCCCAAACTACACCAAATGTTTCCCCAACGCTAGATTGAGTTGTTTTTTTTGTTTTTGTTTTTTTAAAAGAAGAAATGCTGAATTTCATTTTTAAATAAAATGGCTAATTGACATTATTGCACATGAGCAAAAGACAGTAATACTATTAGAGCTCTGTTCATCGACCCGCCCCTCCTCCTCCTCTACGACCCTCCTGAAGCACTTCAAAACATTCAGAACCTGGTGATGCACGATGGTAACGGATGTTTCATCAAACAGCAACCAAAGAGAGGGGAAAAAACCAAAACAAAACGGAAACAATGGTTAAAAACCTTGATCTGGTGAGAGGACAGAAAAGACAGCCAGCAGAGATGAGGGTAAAACACTTACATTGTGCTATAATGTACAGTAAATGGCTGCATAAGTGCTTTTTCTTAAGCAAAAAATGGTTTCAAAAACAGGTATTTATTGTTGAGGCATCGTTAAAAGTTAGCCTGTGCTATCCATTCAGGGGTGACCATGTAAAATCCCTATCAATGAGGAGCAGGAGAGAAATCTTTCAGGACATAAAAAAATAACGATGATGATGTTACCCCTCGGATTCTGTCGTTTCAAAGATCGCTGCTACATTAAAACCGCACGTAATTATGTGCAACATCGGAAAAAAGGCTTTGAAGATGATTCCTCTACACTCCACTCGGTCTGTTGGTTTTTTCTTTTTTTTTCTCGTTTTTTATTTTTACATGTTCCGCCGCCTCATTATTGGTGTTGATTGGCAGTGTCCAGGTCCAATAACATGGCAGAGTGATTCAGTAAAAACACCGTAGTTGCAGTGAGGTTATTTGGGGGAGTCACTCTGGAGGAGGCTGACAGTCTGTGGCGCCGTCGCTGAGGACTTTCTGCGGTGCTCGGCCTCACACCGGCCCGTTGACCGACACCTCCTGAGGCGGGGGAGCTTCCTCTCTGTTGGGCAACAGAACAAACCGTCAGCGACACACAATCTGACAGGTCCAGGGTCAAGTGCTGGTGGGTTCAGGTCGGACCAGAACAAGCAGAGACATAAGATGAGCATTTCTACATCTGTACTTTTACTTCTGGGCTTCTACTTCTGGAGTACCTCTGCCTGCTTTACACCAACTACGTATCCAACAATGGACGACGCGGAGGCGTGAACCGTCCGCCGCGTCGCGGAGGACGGTTGCTTCCGCGAAGTCCATTAATTTCTGATAATGGACACCTCGAAGGGCATTATCCCGCTTATACCATGGTCACTTACGAAAGATATTACTAAATAAATATTAAATCAATTATTAATACGTTAATGTTGTTTTTTACCGTTAAAATCGTAAGTTTTCCACAACAAGCGGCTGAGCGGACTATTTCATGTCTCTCGTTGTGACGCGTTGCCAAGGTAACCGGTCGGCCGCAGCTGTTATATTAGGCCTAAGTGGAGGGAAGTGAGATGATTGCTTAACGTGAGGGCAAGTGCACCTCTTACCGCTTGTGTGTGTCCAGAGGATGATGCGAAATATAAATATATATAATATATATATATATATATAAAAGAATCATTACCATAATCATTATCATTCGTTACCAACTACCGTTTGAGTCAGCGCATTAATTTAGAACAATCAGGTTATTTGACCGGAACTTCTTTATAGGTGTCCTATATCACTTTTTAATGGACACCCTGCAGCCAATCAGAATCGAGTATTCACCCAGACCATGGTATAACACTTTTTAATGGACACCCTGCAGCCAATCAGAATCGAGTATTCACCCAGACCATGGTATAACACTTTTTAATGGACACCCTGCAGCCAATCAGAATCGAGTATTCACCCAGACCATGGTATAACCTGTGTTGTATTTACGCTGCCGTTCAGTCCAGTCTTTCTAAATGAGCTGGTTTAGCTCCTGTTTTCAAGTCTGTGAGGACAATGTGAGATTGAACAACCACGCATGAAGGCAGAGTGACAAGTCCACCATCCTAGAGGGGGAATGACACGTCCTTACTCTGAAATACATTTGTATGTGCTGGAGCTGGAACTATAACTACAATATGCAACAACTTGGGCTGAACCATCCATCAATTTGAAACCATGCAAACTAATACATACATGATGCATCTGGCCCAGAGTTCATTTATTTTTTACATTTTATGACCTTATTACACTTGCTATCAGAATGCGCGATACTTCTATGTTGCTCCTGAGCCACAAATGATCTACGTGTCTGATGTCAGGGATTGTTTCGATGTTTTCACCAACTCATAAATCCTTAGCAAAAACCCACAGGATAACCTCAACATATTTCTGTTTGTGGACACGTGCAACAATCTGACGCTCGTTCACTGGAGATGCACAGGCACTCAGTGGAGGCTGGACTTTTGACTTGCATTTTCACACATATTCACCTGAAGCTCTGGACTTTGACCCTTTTGAATAATTGCTGTGTCCAAAAGCCCTCACTACCTATGAAATAGCGGTACATTTACTGCCTGCAATGTTTGAGTCCTTCAGTAATTCTACAGTGGCACAATTGAATTTGTTTTCGTGGTTTGTACACAACTTTCTGCTGACAAAGTGCCACATTTTACTGATGCCAGAATGACAACTGCATGACTCGGCAGCTGAAGGTCTCACTACAGTTTGTTAATAACAGAAAACCCTGTTTTCACTCACATCTTATCACAGACAGTTTGAGTCAGACACACATCCAACAGACAACCTGCATCACTTTGTGTCTAATTTCAGCTCTTTATAAAGTGTCAGCAGCAGTTAGAGCTCCACAGAATCCTGACACATGGTTTTGGACAGCACTGGACAGAGCTGTCAGCTGGAAGCTCTGTTTCTACTCTCTAGGCTCTTATTCAAACCAGTGCGTCTACATGCCCTACTCTGGTGTCACTTCACATGACGTCTGCAGCGGCCAGCTCAAGGGGAGAATAGAAATAATCGGCTCACATGTGCCTCCCTTCACTGACAGTGCTGCTTGAAAATGTGTGAACCTGACAGACATGATTTATAAACTTTATCAATAGTGCATCTAAACACAGACAGACATTCCAAATAATGCACAAAATTAAAAAGTGCAGTCTTCTTCCTAATCAGTTATTCCTCAGGCATTTTCCTGTAATGGTTCCGGTTATTATCTTGTTGTATGACCTAAACAATCTTGCTATTTAAACATTTTTTTAGTTCTTCTTGAGGTATGCAGTGTTGGCATTTTGCAAAATATGGCAGTTTTGATCATGACCAAACAACTCAGTTTTGGACTCATCTGACCAAAAAACTATTTTTAAAAAGCTTCAGCTCTGTCCAGGTGATTCTAGGAAAGTCAAGGTGAGCAGTTTGGTTCTTTTGTTGTTGTTGTTTTTTTATAAACCAGAGTTTTTCTTCCTGGCAAACGCTCCCATAAATGTCATGCTTATTCAGTTTTCTTTTGACACACGTATCCCAGATGCAGCAAGGCACATCTGCAGTCTCGAGATGTTATGTTTGGACTGGCTTTTAAAGGATTTGCTCTGCTTCTTGGTGGGTGTCTACTCTAGGCAGATCTGCAGTCACGTTGACAGCTCTTCATTTGTAGATTATTTGCATCACGGTGGATGGATGGAGCTCACATTTTTGGGGGGATAATTTTATAGCTTTCCTGAGACTGATGTGCTCTCTGTATCCTCGTTCACTGAGACCTTTTTTTTCCCTCTCAGTGTCTGTATGGGTACTCTTTAATGAGAATCACCTGACACTTTGACGAGCGCTGCCGGAGGTTTACCTTCTCCTGCACCTGCACTAGTTCTCTTTTTAATATAATTTTTTGACTACTTGTGAAATTGCATGTAAACAAGTATTTGGAACTGAAAAACACAAACCTATTATTTCAAATAAAAAGACTGGAGTTGATTAAACAGGAAAATCATGACAAAACAACAGAAAACTCTATTTGCTCAGGAGATTCACATACTTCCAAGCAGCACTGTATGTATCCTATAAAATGCAAAATTTTCCTAAACAACTATTTCGGTTGTTGACTCAAATGATGAGACCATAAACAGCAGAATGTTGCTAAAGGCCATCACGGCTCTCCGAGCCAACACTGTGCACCAGCAGCTCAAATGTCCCTGCTTTTTATTGGCATGCCAGTATCAGCATTTATGGTGTCATAACTGTGATTGTTTCTACTTGTTTTACTTGACAACATATGAAGATGAATTGCAGTTCAGTACAAATAGTCATCAAACAGGTGGGTACTTACTTCCTGTCAGTCTGTGTGTTTACAGAGGAGTCCTCAGCAGGCTGCTGCTCTGAAGCTTTAGGAGGATCTGACAGAGAGAGTTTCTCCAGAGACACCGGACTCTCCTCACTGCAGCACACAACCAAACAACAAAGCTAACAGTTACTTTCTGTGTTTTAAAATCTGTATTACTGGACAAAATGGTTGTGGCAGATGAATATGAACACAGCAGAGGAAGGAACAGTATCAGCATGCCTTTTCTCCAAGTCTTTATACATGGGACTTGTGTCACCCTGCAATATTCACTGATTAGAAAATCCTTCCATTTATTACATGTATCTGTTCATCTATTTTATTATCTATCTAACAAACTTTTCCTGCTCCTAGACTCACTGACCTTTGACACCACTGGAAGGTAACAAACACAAGACCTACAAGGGCTTAAAAAAACAAGCTCTTGTTGAAATTAACATATTGCACTGCAAAAACTCAAAATCTTACCAAGTTTATTAATCTTGTTTTTAGTCAAAATGTCTCATCCCACTTGATTTGAGATAATTTCACCTAACAAGTAACATTTCAGCAAGATAGAGGGACTTGTTTTAAGACACCGCATCTTAAATATCTTGTTAAGTCAAACAATCTTGAAATTATCTTGTTTTGAGTTGTATTTTAGAAGAAACAAGGCTAATTTGACATTTCATATATTTGTAAAGCTGAGGTGTTATTTGTATAAGATAGATAATCTTGATTTAAGAAACAAACTTTACTTAATTCAAGTGAAGGCATCTTACAAAGCGAATTTTCACTTGTTCTATTGGCAGATTTTATCACTTATTTCAAGGTAAAAGTACCTTGAAGTAAGTTTTTTTTTCTTGTTTTGAGAAGGGCATTTTTTCCAGTGTGTTATATTTTCCAAACTTGGAATCATTTTTTACTCAACATTAATTTCAACTATATGTCATCAAGAGAACCAAATCAGTTTCTTTCACAACTTTTGCTTCAGAAGCTAAACTAGCTCTGTGTGATCCTGAGAAGACAACATCTCTGATTAAAAATACTAATTATTAATAACAATTTTATTTTTAATTGGCTACTTAACTGCACTTTTCTACAGTACTGCAAATAATATCATTGTGTTACTGAAACAACTTTTAGCTAACCTTCTGTACTTGTGAATCAGTTTAAACAGAAGTTTATTCCGAGGAGCAGAGGAGCTCCCAGGATGTACTTTACTTAGAGGCAAAACTGAATGCAGCAATTTCAAATCCTAGCACAGTCTATAATTACATCAATGTGGTAATTATGTTTCAAATATAGATGTTTATACACACACACACACAGTTTTCCATGTACAGCAGCAGAGTGGACTGGTCAACAGAGGAGGATTTTACCCTCTAACATCTGACAGTTACAGCATGTCCACACAGAAAGCCCTTCAATTGTTTGTCAACTGTCTGACAGATCATTTGCACTCTGAGAATCTGTATTAGCTCACACTTAACTTGCACCATAGTCCATTAAATGTAATCTGAAGTGTATTTTTACAAATCAAGTCAATTTTCTTGCACTTTAAGCACCCAACTGCAGTTAAAAAAACAACAACAGAGCGAGACTTCGTCCCAACTCGGTACTGCCTGAAGACCTTCTAATGTGTACAGCCAGAACATCAGAACCACTCCTGCTCTGCTAACGTGCTGCTCTGCCTTCTGTGTACACATTCCTTAGACTCTCGGCAAGAGGATGCAAACCTTTTGAGGTCAGCTGTCTTGTTGCTGGGGGCGTCGGCTGTTTCCGAGGTGATGGCAGGAGGAGCACCAGCATTTTTGTCATCCTCCTCGCTGTCTGATCCCCCAGAGGAGCTGCTGTCTGAGGCCACGAGTGGAGCCTTCCTGCCTTCTCCTGCTGGCCAAGGACCAGAGGAGGCACTAGCATCCGCTGACACATCGAGACAGAATAGAGGAGGATAGTCACTAGTTAAACACTTTTTTATATCTATCTACTGAGGTGGACTTCAGTAAGTCGGCTGAGGATGCAGGTAAACACTCACCACTCTTCTCGTGGTTTTGTTTGGCTTGTTTATCTGCATCAGTGCTGCCCGAGTCCACAGGAGAGCTGCACCTGGGATCAGTCTCTGTACTGTAGGACACAGGGATGAAAAGAAAACTGTGTTGTAAAGGCCATTTGTAAATGTGACTGTATTTCTTGAAAGTGTGGTCTTTGTGTCTTATCCTCTCCTCCTTGCAAAGTTTTCAACTTGTGCAACTTTGAAAATGTCAGATGTTGTCTTTTTGCTGTACTTTGTACTGTATAAATAGTTCCTATGAAAACAGTCAGATGTATGATCTATAAAAGCACATTTCACACCCATAACAAAAATCCAAATATCAATAGAAGAGGGCTTCCCTCTCTTGGAAATAAAAATGTAACCTGGTTCTTCATATTGACCAAGCAAGAATTTAAAGAATTAACAATCTTGCTCAGGTCTACAAGCCAGAGTAATGTCTCGTTCCTTTATAGAAGGTCACTTGACTGGTAAAATGGTGATCTGCTAATTTGGGTCAACAAAGTTTGTTCTCACCCAGAGAAAGGCTGGAACTCAGTGAAGTTGGCCCAGCCAGTTTCCTGTGTCTCTGCTCCACTCCCAGCTGAGCTGTCCCACCCTGCTGTGGTTTGGGATGCTGCAGTTTCTCCAGATTCCCTGAAATTTGCCGTCCAGGCAGGACCTGGAAACACACATCACATTATGAAGGACTACTCACAGGTTAACACAACACGTGGCTGTGTTTCCTCTAATCTACCTGCATCTGATATGTTCTGCTCAGAGTCTTCGTCCTCATCAGATTCAGATCCACGATCCCGTTCCCGGCCTCCATTTTCCATGCTGCTCCTGGAGCTTCCATCTGAGGTTTGAGAGACCCCAAACCTGTAACAGAGTGACAATGACGTTCAGCAGAGATTAAAATGTTAACAACCAAAATCCAGAGGGTATAAAAACTGCAGTGAGCTAGAAATTATCATTAGGTTTACCTTGTTCTTGATTTAGCTTGTTTTGCATAGTTGATCTCCTTCTCCTCCCAAATGTCCTCTTCCTCTTCAGCATCATCAAACTGGCGTATCCTCTCTTTACAGCAGGCTTCAAAAGCAGCCGCATTGGCCTGTGAACAAACACACGTACAGTCAAATGAAACACTGCGACAGTGATTCATGACCAGGCTACACATTAAACTGACTTCTCTTCAAGTAAATATTGACAGTATGTTGAAATAAACTGAAGCCAAAAGCAATCTGGAGGGTGAAATCACATGAAAGTGTTTGGTTTGATTTAGAAATGGTTCAGGTTTTTAGCTAAATTGTGAGTTGACAAATTTGATTATTTTTACCATGGACAGTCAAAGTTATTTATGAAACACACATTTAAGAGTGCTGAAATATGATAATGTTCTTGTTCCTGTACAACATAAAAAACAAAACAAAATGGAAATTCTGTGAACATCAATTTTTTAAGAATATCAAGATATTGCTTTTGAGACCAAAATTGAGAAATAAATAATAAAAAAAATATACAGACATGCATTTTGTACAGAAATGTATTTAGTGATGCAAGCCTTAACCACGGTGTCCACTCATTTCACTCACTATGGCTATTAACACTTTATTATCACTACAAGTAGCACAGAATACAATTAGACACTTTTTAACTACCAGAAAAAGACACAAAGGTTTGCAAAACACTTACACTATTATCATCAGCATCTAGATTGAAGTTTATTTCGGCAATTCTGTCAAATGTGGCACTAAGGGGAGAGAAGACAAAGAATGTTACAATGTGAGTCAACATCACGAGGGGAAGAAAAAGACCATCAATAGGAAGATTAATGACAATAAGATATTACTGAACCAGAAACAAAAGAGCTCAGTATTTCTCCAAACTCTTTTTTTAGACTATTCACAAGATGCACACTTGCTGTTAGATGCTAAAGCTGCAATCTGCTGCCAAAAGATTTCCATTACTTACTTGATATTTTCATCGTGCTCTGTGAACTCCTCATCATTAAACCCAAACTGATCCACAAAGTTGGCAGTCATCTGTTGGATCTGATAGTCTGAGAAAGCCTTGAAAGTTCAAAGGGAAGGTGTCATTAGGGGCAGTCATTACTGGTTTGGACTCACATGAAGGTCCTGTCATCATAACTTGTAACAGCAAGTGTGATTTGCTTTTTCTTGGAGGTCATCTTACTTGTTGGAGAGAAAGATCGTTGGGGAAGGGGCTCTCCATGTCGTCGTCCTCACTGGATGAGTGCATGTTGTGGGTGCTTACCTGCAGAACACAGTGTAGATGAGAGTGACAATGACAGTGAGATTTGTTCAGTTCAAGTATTACAGATGCCCAGTGGCCCTACAAGACACACTTGCAAATCACACTAACATAATATTATTGGGAAAGAAGGCATATATTATTAAAACCTAGATGTTCAAATGAATATGTGTAATTCTACACAGGCTTCCTGGAAGGGGCATACAGACTGATTATTTTTGAATACCATACAACTTGCAATGCAGCAAATGAAATTGTCTTGCTGTGCGAATGCCCATCTGCATCTTGTAAACAAGCCTAGCTCGGCTACCTCCTCCTGTGAAAACCAAATGCTGTCTGTGACCTCACTGAGGGGATGCTGCCAAGCTTGAAATCAGCATAGTGTAATCAGGGGCACTACCGTTTATTAATTAAATACACTTCTGACTGTTGTTGCTTATATTTTTTGATTTATTAAAATGAAAAATCTGACAAAAAAAACGTCCAATTGGCTGAGAGGCTGGTAACAGCTGCTGGGTGGACAGTGGATGGCCCTGTCCTTATAAACTGCTGCAGCTCACAACACAAAGAGCTTAAAGGGGGAGAGAAGAAGAGCAAATGAGGAGAAGTTTGAACATCTTTAATTTTTTTGAAAAAACATGAGTGCTGTGAAAGACATCTCACCAGCTCTACCGTGTTCTTTCTGTTAGTTTCTCTCAGGGTCTCATCCACAAAGCTCTCCCAGCGACCTCTGCAGTCTTCTGGCAGCTCTGTAGAAGAGTGAACCCCAGCAGGGATTTTCATTTTCACTGACTTTTCAGTGACAAAAAAAATCTGGCATTAAGAATCCTGCCACACGTAATTACCTTTGATGAGGTCTGTGATCTGGGCCTGTACTGGTCCTTTCTCCAGGTTCTGGACCACCATGTTGGCAATTCTGGTCAGATGACCCATGTTTCCTCTCCTGGTGCCACCCTCAGCCCTGATGTTCAGAGATACACAATCATCTCACATCTACACTGTACTGCTGCTTAAAAAAAACAAACAAAGCATAGAAAAAAAATTAAAAGATAAAAAGTGAACATTTTCTGTTCAAAGTTTTAGGGCTGCTACTAATGACTATTTTTCTTTCTATTTATATATCGATTATTAAATCGGTTTGTTAATAAATTTTAACAGTTCATTTTTTCCTCCAGAAAAAGCAAAATGACTATTTGTTTAAAGTTGACTCTCTGTTAACAGAGTCCATGTCCTTGTATAATGCAGCACAGTATGAGATCGACACAAAGGTTTACATAATTGCAGAATTAAACTGGAAACTCCAACATGACACCAAACTGTATACCAAACACAGTGCAACATGGACATGGTGGATATTTTACACCATGAAGCAGCTACACCCACTCGTCTTGATGGGCTTTGTGCAATTTCAAACTATTTCAAACGCTTTTTTTGTCTGACATTATAAACAGAAAAATATGGGTATTATTAATATTAAAATAAAACATATGTGAGCACAGAAAGGAGGAGTGAAAAAAAGACACGTAAAGTGTCTCTGCACCAAACAGTTTCAGAGTGTTGCTGTGCTGCTGACATCTGCCATCCAAACACTGCACAGTGCACAAACCACCTTTTTAAGATCACTTGAAGTGCTCCAATACTTTCAAAGCCTGAGCCTTTAGAAATCTTTACACTTAACCGACTCAGACACTGCTGCTACCACCATCGCTTAAACTGTAGCACTGAGTGCAGTTGACCAATGACTGGAGACAAAAACAACCGACGTCATGACGCAGTAGTCATGTAGTGATACATATTTCTTACAATAAATTAAATCCTTGAAGAAAAAAAAAATTAAAAACCATATGTTGGTTTTAAATATCAGCGTTGATGCATTTTTAGTGTCAACATCTCTGGCTATTCTGAACAATAGTAGTAGCAACCCTGGTTTTGATATACAGTCAATTTGTAAACATGATGCACAGAAATAAGACACCAGCAGAAACTGCTCTATTTCAAGAAATGCATTTGAGCAAATGGCTAAGGATGTGAGAAAATTCTTACTGTATTTTATCGTTTTCCTCCCAGGCATCAAGGATTCTCTGAACCAACCGACATTTCTGGAAGAGCTGAGAGTTCAACACAAACACAATCTGACTGTGGGGAAATATTTGAGAAAGAGCACAACAACTTTGCAAACAAAAGGGCAGACAAAGGTTTGGGTGCAGCGTGACAAGTTCAGGAGATTAAACCTGGAAGCCACATACATGTGCCACAAGGGCATTATGGATAGAGGTCTGTGGGTCACTGGTCCTGCCTGTCTCCACTTGCTCCACCTGCCCCTCAGAGTTGGATGTTGCTGCTGCAGGCTTCCCATTGTGGTTCTGGAGCCCTGGGCTGGGCCGCTCTTCTGAGGAAGGATGGTTCAGAATAGCCGCCACGCACAGCTCCACTTGGAAGTGCAAAAAGTTATTCCAGGAGTATTTGAAGAACAGATCCTATGCAAATGTAGAGATGTGTAGTTAGCAAAGTTAGCAATTTACTGCAAAAAAGTGTGTGCAAAACAGAATAATAGAAAGAAGCACTTAATGAACATCTCAGTGAATAGTAGGGGTGTAACAATACACGTATTCGTACCGAACTGTTCGGTACAGGCCTTTTCGGTTCGGTACAGACATGTACCGCGGTACAAAAATTTTAAGACTATTAAGAATGGCCAATATACAGAATTGTTTCAATTGCGAAACTTTAAATCTCATGGTGCCTACAGTTGCGGTGGACCTTCTCCAGCTCACAGTTGCGGAGTATTGCAGAGCTAAAAACAAGTAGGAGTTTCCAGTCGACCACATGGTGTGACGGACCGTTTATTCTCCTGTCGGCGCTTCTTTATAAGCCCAGTCTCTATGGCTAGCGAATGGGATGGCTAATGCTAACAACAACAACAACAAGCCAGAGCTGGAAGACGCTTCGGTGTCATTAAAATCTCCCGTGTGGGATCACTTTGGTTTCCTGGTGAAGTCCGAAAAAGGAGAAAAACAAGTCGACAAGATGAAAGCTGTATGACCACATTGTGAAGCGGTCCTCAACTATGCATCTGACAACACGTCAGACTTACACACTCATTTGAAAAGGCAGCATCCAAGCATAATGCCCGTTGTGCTGGAGCTCTGGCTCCATTCAGTCCTCACCGCTGTCTTCTCAGCAGTACATGAGGAAGCGACAGCCAGGCAGCATCACAGGAGTGGGCTGAGCGGAGCTACTGACAGATAAGTTCATAATGGCGTTGTGACATTAACAATGACTCAGCATGTCTCCTGGTTCACTTTAACTCTTTTTGCCATGTGTCAAGACGACTGACGTGTGCTACGTTGCGTCGGTCATGCTTTTCATTTACGTTGCATTGCTAAAGTTGTGCTAACCTAGCTTAAACTACTCCCTGTCTGTTTGTGTTAGCAATAACATCGCTGTAGTTCTGCCAACCTAGCATAGCGTTAGCTAACAGCTTAAAAACCAGTAACTGCAGAAATAAGTGTAAAAAATATTTGAGAGTACAAAACGACCGTTCATCACTCCATCAGCTTGTTATTGATGATGTCAATGTTAATTCAAATGCTAAAGCTATGTTTTGATTCTCCATGAATCTAATAGTGCAGATCAAATGAATGCAGAACTTGCTGGAAATCACAACATGGTGGAAATGAGCTGCTTGGCAGAGGTCTGCGCCCTCAGAGTGCTCTTCTAGATAGCTATGTTTTACAAACTCGCCCCACTTATGAACAGCACACAAGCTCAAATTTGGCTGCATAATACTTCTTTCATTTATTTGAAAAATGTTTGTTTTTTATAATTATGGCTGAACTTGGTTGTTTGCAGTTTCAGCAATTTCCCTAAGGGTTTCAACCAAAGGGATCAATAAAGTTCTATTCTATTCTATTCTATTCTTGCAGCAGTGTCTTCCTTTTTTATACTGGAAAAGTAATTCAGTTCTATTTACAGCAGACCAATAAGCTGGAATTGTTAATGCTGCACTTGTACTTTTATTTATTTTGTTTTGTTTATTTGATATTGAGAACTGTTCAGCAGTATTCCTGTTACATTTGTATACATTGTATATTTAATTTGATTTACTGAGCTGCAAACAGCTTTTTGGTTTAATACAATAAACAAATGTTTTGGATTAATTATGAGCAGGTTTTTTTTCCCCCAATTTTTCCCCTTAACTGAGAACCGAACCAAACCGGGACTTCTGCACCGAGGTCTGTACCAAACCGTAATTTTTGTGTACCGTTGCACCCCTAGTGAATAGCATGCAGTTTTCAAGTGTGATACAACATGCCTTTTTAAACACTTCCTTTGGGGACTGAAAATACAACTTTGCCAACTATTTCTGTGTCCCTTTAACACAGTAACTAAAAGTCTAGGTAACAGTATCTGAATTAATCCAGTGCAGCCATGTTGTTCAACCAGTGCAGCAGTCGAGGGTTTGAATTCCCGGTCTGCTGACCAGTTGACAAAGCTCAATGTTCATAAATGAAACTGCTCCACAGAAGCCACACTGACTGCCCTTTGGTGAGAGGGTGTGATAACATAATCAGTACTTCCCTGCCTCATGACCAACCTTGTGCAAATCTGGTGCAACTTTTTAAAGCATGAAACACAAATAGAATCAGGTAGAAACATCCTCTTGGAAAAAAAGAGGAATGACAATCAAAATACACTACTCACAATAAGTTAGGGATATTGTTATTTACATGAACGCTTTTCCTATTTGGTCTGAATTTTAATGAAATAAGTAAAAGTTCCCTTTGCTATTACTAATAATGAATGAGAAGAAACACAATTTCATTAGTTTAATATTTATTACCCCCAAAATTTAAACAATAACAAGGATAGCCCCAAATAAGAAAAATTGACAATGTCAGCAGCGGGTGTTTCCACCATTTGCCGCAATGACAGCTTGATAACGACGTCTCATGCTCCTCACTGGCCTCATGAGGTTGTTCTGAGGCAATGCGTTCCACTCTTCCACAAGTGCTACACGCAGTTCTGCCAGGTCACGTGGGGGTGGAGTACGATCATCCAGTCTCTGCCTCAGCTGGTCCCAGACGTGCTCTATGGGGTTCAGGTCAGGGGACATTGCTGGCCATACCATATGAGGCACTCCGACTTCCTGAAGTCGAGTTGTGACAATTCTGGCACAATGTGGTGGAGCATTGTCATCCATGAACAGAAAGTTGGGGTGTGCTGGTGGAACTGGGGGATGATGATGGGTTCTATGATGTCTCTGAGGTAGGAACATGCAGTGACTGAGCCATCTACAAAAACCAAATCTGTTTTGCGCTGGCTGGTGATGCCTGCCCAGACTGTTGCACCTCCTCCAACAAAGCAAACCCTGGGGACCATGTCAACCTCGGCATATCGCTCACCTCGCCTTCTCCAGCAACGCTGACGACCATCATTCTGTGCAAGGTGACTCGACACTCATCAGTGAACAGGACGGTGGACCACTGCTGCATTGTCCAGGTCACATGGTCTTGTGCCCACTGCAAACGTTCACGGCGGTGTCTTGGTGTCAGTGGAGTCACCTGCAACGGTCGTCTGGCATTCAAGCCAAAGCAGTGGAGTCGGTTGCAAATGGTTTGTCTGGAAACCCGAGTACCCCTCACATCTCGTAAATGGGCCTGCAGCTCTGTGGCACTTGCACAGCGATGTCTGAGTGCATAGGTTCTGAGGTACTGGTCATCGTTGCGGTCGGTCACTCTTGGGGCCCCACTCCTGGGTCTGTCACGAACTGTACCAGTAGTTCTATGTCTTAATAAAAGTCTGCTGATGACACTTTGAGACACACCAAGTTCACGAGCAACATCAGACTGCCTGCCACCGACTCGAAGGCGTGCTATGGCCAGGTGGAGCTGCTCGTCCTTTAAGTGACGTTGTGTGTTCATTGCTTTTTGAACGATGAATTTGAAATGACTTACTGACAATACCAGCTTTTTATACCCACAGAATGTTGAAATTGGTGCCACATTGAAAAGGGTTGTCTTTTAGTTTTTTGGTATTGGCCCCAATATGTAAGGCACACTGTACACAGTGAGATCATTACATGGAAAACACAAAATGAGGTGTGTCTATCAGCCCAATACAACAGCCTCCCTGTCCCAGAAATCTCTGAAGTGAAACAAAGACTGTATGTATGAAATCCACTGAGTCTCTCACAATATCCCTAACTTATTGTGAGTAGTGTACATCTTACTCACTTGCAGGTGTAAAGACAAAAAAGGGGCTCCAGAGTCGAGCCAGGTTTAACCTACCAGTAGTAGATCCATGGTAGCAAGATTGCAGAGCTCCTGGCAAATAGTGGGTGCACTGGTCTGCAGCAGGGCAGCCACCAGTCGGGCCACATGAAGGCGGGCGTTCCCCAGTGGCTGCTCTAGAACGCCAACGGTCGTCAATATTGCACTTTTCTGTGGAAGGATTGAGAGAAATAGATAAACTAGTGCTGTCACAAAATGATCTTCTGATACCAGTACAGACATCCACAACTTTTAATTCTACAACAACAATAATACAACAATGACAGATGAAAACAGGGCTCTTTAACACTGGAAAGGTTCAGTGCTAATTCAAGAATCCCAATTAGTGACTGCAGTAATATTTAACACATCCATCTGTCAATTTGCATTAAACTATACCTATGTTCTTTTATTTAGATTTTCCTTCATGACATGGCTCTCCACCATGGGCTTTACCTTGGGGGGATCCAGAAAAAGTTGCTGGAAGTCCTTTAAATGGGGCTCAATGGCATTTAAAATACTGCTGTTGACAGTGTAAGACCTTTCATAACCCTGAGAATACAGATCCATCAGCCCTTCCAACCTGGCAGACACAAGAAGACACAACCATTAGGTCACTAGAGTTGAAACAAAGAAAATTTCAGCTCACTCACTCTGATAGTATTCTTTTTAAATCAAAAATAAAATCAGAGGAAAGCTGCTCCTTCACTTTGTTGAAAGCTTACAGAAGTAAATACAACACACATTAACCATGCAATGTTGTTGCACTGAACACTTTGGAATAACAGACCCAGAGTGATCAAAATTAACAGAGCTTACAACATATATCATAAAAAACTTGACAGGACAAACTCACCCAGACCTCCTGGTCTCCAGTAAGGTAAGCAGCACTTGAGTTCCGTTAACAATGGAGGCCTCACTCCTCTCCCCCTCAAACATGTTTTTCAGAAGTCCTGCTACACTCTCCTGCCTGCAAGACACCGTAGCAAAAAGGCAGAAAAGGACTTGACCCTGTTTTTGTATTATTGTATGAGGACACAAATTCAGACTTACACATAAAAACCAACACTGTTGCCAAACAGGCTTTTCCAGCAAAACGCGCTACAACAGTGTTTTTACACTGTCCAGTCTAGACTGGGAAACTGGCAAATCTGGAGTCAATACTGAACTGGTGTGTGTGTGTAGAATAGAATAGAATAGAATAGAATAGAATAGAATAGAATAGAATAGAATAGAACTTTATGGATCCCTTTGGTGCAAACCTCAGTGTATGTGTGTGTGTGTGTGCATATATATATCTAAGGATTAAACAACGAGGAGCCGTGCATTATACGGTTTGAATGCATGCAGCGGAGTCTAAAACACCACAACGCGAAGCGGAGTGGTGTTACTCCGCTATACCATGGTCCCACACAGCGAGCAAACACACAAAATATTTATTTAATTAATAGAACTTGCTAAAAATGCCTAAGTTTGGGTGCCTGGGTAGCTCAGCAGGTAGGGCAGGCAACCCATATACAGGGGCTACAGTCCCCGACGCAGCGGCCCGGGTTCGATTCCACCCAGCGGCTCATTTTCTGCATGTCATTCCCCCACTCTCTGTCTATCTTTCACTGTCACTTTCAATAAAGGCTGAAAAGGCCAAAAATAAATCTTTAAAAAAAAATTTTTTTTAAAAGCCTAAGTCTTTGGGACTATTTTATGCAAGTCTCAGGCACCATTGAAAGCCATTGAAAGCAAGTCACCAGAGCGGCGTGATATAACACTGATTTAACTCACCGAACTACGTGTGTGTATACACTAAAATAATGCACGCCAGTTAGCCATAGAATTCTCGCTAACTATGGTATAAATACATATTTATTTATGTTGTTTATTTCTTGTTTGTTTGTTTTATTTTCAATCCTTCTACAACTTTAATTAAAAGCCATTGTAAACTTACGACTCTAGTATAGCCAATAGTGGGTCAGCCTCCACATTCTCCTGCATCTGATTGGCCTGGTCTCGACTAAGGCGGATGATGTCACAAAGCGTTTGGGACGCATTTGATTGTCTCTGGAAAAAAAATAAACAAAAAAATTTCAATTAGAAATCTAAAGTAACAGAAATTGACTCCTGTAAGTTATATTAACACATCAACAGAAGTATAGCTATGTGGATCTCACAAAGACAGCATTATGACAGCAGGCCTTACACTCACTCACCTCCTCATCTTTGCCAGTATGGATGAGCTCTGTGAGTCTCTGTACCAACTTTTCCTCATTCAGCCACTGGAATAAAAAACAGAACAGCAAACAAACAGATACTTTAAACGTTTCTTAAAGACTAGTGTTTACTTGGAGGTGGTACACTAGCACAAATTTAAACAGCTTACATGCAGGACCTCCTGCCTCAAGGGGGCAGGCTCCACACAACTGATGAGGCGAAGCAGCAGGTCCATCATGGCAGAGGCGTCAATGTGTTTCAGCACCAGACCAATGAAGCCTTCTTTTTTCTTTAGAAAGGTAATCACCTAGGAAAAAACACAATATATCCACTACCTTTTCTTTTGTCATAGCTTGTTAACCGTGTCAGTTTGTCAACTGAGTAAAATGAATTAAACATGCTTTGCTTTCTTGTATAGACAACTATTTCTTCATATGCTCAAAGATATTTCCCACTGCACCTGTTCCGTTTTCCTGGCAATGAGATTGCCGATAGTTTTGCTGAAGAAGCTGGCAAGTAGGGGGTTGAGGGGCGGGTCCTGCTCCAGGAAATGGTAGAGCATCTCGAGGAGAGACTCATCCCCACCCAGCTTATCATTTATAATGGACACATCTGATGTCAGGAGCTCACAAGCAATATTGGGAAACCTTACAAAAAAAAATATACAAACAAAGAACAACAATGAGAAGAATGGATGCAAGTTAAAAACAATGTTCTTAACCAATAGCCAGATAGGTTCTCAATTGATTACATCAGTGAAGCTAATAAAGTATAGTCAACAGTTTTCAGGACGCTGGTAAAGTCACTTTTAACCACAAACACCTAACATTCACTTTAAAAATCACATTCTTTACACAGTCTACTTGGCTATAAGAAAACTGCCCCAGAAAACATCAGCTTGTCTGAGGTGTCAGCACGGCCTGGAAGCCATTAACCACAACAGAAATCTTTGTCATGGTGGATGTTAATAGCTAGACCCCCACAATGCTCTCTGTTTGACAACACAGAGCTTACTCAGGTCTGTGTCCAAGTGAGAAAGCATATGAGCTGCAGTCGTTTATCTCATTAAAGAGTAAGAAGCAAGGTTGTGCAGCTAAAATGCAATACATTGTCTGACATGCATGTCCTTCATCTTTGGCATTATCCGTCAAATTAATAATTGCTATAAACCATTAACTATTTATCAATAACATACTTACTCTGTGCAATGAATGATTTTAAAAATAATAATTCTTGATATTTTTAAATGTTTTTCATCATAACAAATTTATAATTTATAATAATTTTGGTGTTTGTAATGACATATAGTAACTGCAGCAGCAAAAATTCGATGGATGAAATTGTTTCCATTTTTATTTTAAAAATACATTTCCTGTATTTTTCACTGTTCACATCACCAGCCATTATTTGTCTGTCAGTGTGAGGTCTCACTTAAAGCGGCTTCTTTCCTCTAGGTCAGCAGGTGGCTCCGTGGTGATGAGGCTGACCAGCTCCTGCATGCAGTGGTCCTGGGAGAGGAAGAGGAGCAGCCGACGGTTTTGGGCCTTGCACTCCTGTAGGACGTCATCCTCCTCCATCAGCTCTCTAAGCGTCACGTCCTCCCTGTCCAGAAGCTGGTCAATGTGGGAGGTGGTGTGCAGGTCAAACTTCCAAAACATGGTGGCCGCTGGGACAGGGGACACAGCCCTAGGTCATGGGACAGCAAAGTGAGGAGGGAGGTAGAAGAAACAAAAGGAAGACAGAGGTGGAGGAGGATAAGGGAGCATATAGAGGCCCAGCAGTGGCCCGAAACAATAGGAGAGATGGGGAGGAAAGACATGAGTAGGTGGGAAAGGAAGCCGTTGAGAGAAACTGATGTAAACAAACAAATGTTTAAGCTTGAGAATTAGGTAACACAGCACTCTTATTTATATCGTTTCAGACCAAAGACGGTGACCACAGGGACTGTAATATACCTTGGTATAACTTAATTTAAACTGTCTTGTAAACAGCATTTTCTGACTAAGTTAATGTGGACAGCCTGAACAACGGTAATTGAATTAAGATAGGGCCTATTCCAGTTAATGCTGCATTAATGTATTAGATAGACTGTACTGAATTTTTCATAGGATTTTGAGAGAACAACATATGCTCTGAGTGGATCCTGCATAGAAAGTCATGAAAAAGCAGTCAGTGTTTTGGCAAAATTTGCATGATGAAGGCAAAAAAGGTAAACTTTATCAATGTAACAGAAAGATAAACTTTGATGGGTTGCAAAGCAGACGGTTGGTCTGATGTTGTGACATAATTTGGGGATAGTGTCAGGTAATCTGTAATTAGGTGCGGGTCTATATAATTTAACTGGATATACTGAAAAGAACAGATCGAAAAGGCCATTGTAAAGACTGTCTGTCTCAGTCATCCAGGTCATGGATATTCTGTTAGACTCATCATAGCAACTGGACTTGCTTGAGTTCCTTGAAGACATTTCACCTCTTATCCAAGAGGCTTCATCTGTTCTAACTAAACGAACGAATGAATATCATGGATCCTGTAGGGACAGCTCAGGACTAGCAGTCCCTTTCAGTCCCTGTTTTTCACTTGAAGTGAGTCCAGGGTGAGGAGGAGGAAAAGGAGATTAAAATTAAAAAGTTCACCATTTTGTGAGGTTCACACATCACCATTCACCAAAGTCACTTTTTGTTTGTGTTGTGTTTTTGTTTTTTTTCCCCTTTTTTTCTCCCATAAATTAAAATGATAAAACAATAAATGCGTTCTCTTATAAATCTCTGGAGGTCAGAGTCAGGCTGTGCCTTGTCTCAGGAGGACAGACAGGGGGGTGCTGCAGATGTATCTTGGGTGATCAGTTCTTTCTTCATCTATGGCTGGTTGCAGAGATGGATTGTTTTCAGCTCTGTGGAGATACCTTTGTCCTAAAGCAGTTCTTCTTTGTTTTATTGTCATCAGGCCGGAGAGTCGGTGAGTGTATGTGTTGCTTGTGTATTTGGGGAGTCTGTAGCACATCTTTATGGCCTGGTTCTGTATGGTCTGGAGTTTTTGTAGTTGTGTTTTTCCCAAATTACACCAAGCAGGTGCTGCATACTCAAATAGCGGTCTGATGTAGGCCTGGTACACTCGTAGAGCTGTTTGTGGTTTGGCTCCTCCATTTGTCCTGCAGATGACTTTTAGGTGGTTCAGCCTCCTTCGAGCTTCTTCTTCGACTGTTGATATGTGCGCCATCCATTTCATGTTGTACTGAAATGTCACACCGAGGAATTTTGCCGTGGGCGTGGCCTGCAGAGGTTCTCCATACAGTTTGAGACCTGTTGGGCCGTTATGGTGTGGGTGTTTGGAGAACAGCACACACTGGGTCTTTGAGGGGTTTAACTTTACCCTCCACATGTTTGCCCATGCTTCCATCGCATTGATGCATCTCTGTAGTTTTTTCTCAGCATAGTGGAAGTTTTTAGATGAGGCCCAGTAGCAGAGGTCATCTGCAAACTGGGAGACCTGTCCCTGTCCTCTGGGTGGATAAAATATGTCACTCATATATATTAAAAACAGCAGTGGACTGAGAGCTGATCCTTGGGGTACACCAGCCTCTGGGGTGAATCTGCAGGAGGTTGCTGCTCCCACTCTCACTGCGATCTCTCTCTGGTTTAAAAAAACAGTTTAAAAGCATCACCATCTGTTTGGGGAGCTGTAGGTTTCGGTCCAGAAGCCTGTAAACGAGTCCTTCATGCCACAATTTGTCAAAGGCTTTTTCAATATCAAAAAATACAGCAATTGTGACTTCTTTTTTGTTAAAACCTCATCTGACTGACGAGTTGGGAGTCCCAGATACTTATATCCTTGAAGAGCCATTAACACATGAGTTTTGGTTTCAATTGGGGGTAGTTACTCCTCTCCCTCGTTATATGTGTCGTTAGGGCTCCCACTGTCACAAAGGGGTTCGTTAGGGTCTTTTGTGGCTAGGTGTGAGTGCGGTTTCATCTTTCTTGGAAGAGATCTTAGGACTGAGCTGTAAACAGATGAGAGGTGATGCCTCAGACCTCCAGCTCTGTTGAGGGATGGGCTTTCCAGTTTGACATAGATGGCTTCTTTCACCCTTTTCTCAAACCATTTGTCCTCCCTGGCCATAATCTGTACGTTGTTGTCTTCGTTGTTGTCATAAAATATTATTTCATTTAGATTAAGAACAACTGTTTGAACATTTGTTGAATAAAATGTAGCCATAATCTATACCATTACAAAAAAAAATGCCTCAGTAAAGTGTTCACACTTACCAGTGGATGAAATGTGGATATCTTTAATCAGACCTCCCCCACGGGCAGGCAGGCATTTGTGTTTGTGCAGACGACAGAGAGTGTGGCGAGGCCTGGCATTTATCAGCATGGGTCTCCTCTTAAAACGCAGGCCTCTTTAGGAGATGAGACACTGAGAGGCTCACCATAACCTGCACAACATGAAAAACAGTGCAGATTATCAATCAACAACACTTTAGAAGACCCTGTATTAGCATATCACTCAGACAAAATCTTAGATCTGCACAAATACAGAATGTGATACATCAAGAGACAGAATGGATATTTTGCAGTGGTGTTTTGGAACCTGGTTAACTTGTGTTTTCCTCATCATGAGTCAGCTCAAAGTTGGTGATACACAAAATGCATTAAGCTCATGCTATAGTGTATAAATGTTTAATCCTGGGAATGATCATGAAATATTATGACGTCTCCCGAGACTGACAAAAAATGAAACATATGTCAGCCAGGTTACTTGAGATTTATTTTTATTTTTTTTAGAACTACACTTAAAGTGCGTACAATCACAATGTGCATGCTCATCAGTCTTTAACTCTGTACCACTGTTGAACAAGATTTGGTCAATTTGTACTTCTCTGATCTCAGCAGCACAGAGAGGCTTTTTTATCAGATAATGCTAAAAGCAGAATTCATCTTCAGTAATGGAAAACAAGTATTCAATGCTTTTGTGACTAAACAGTTACGTTTTGTTTGTTTTCTTCATGCAGTTACTGTGGTAGCTAATCTAGAAAACCTAACACACCAGCAGTAACATAAAACAAATACATCTGCTGACTTTGTCCAAGCTAGTGTGTTTCTCTATGCAACTGTTGATCATGGAAGTAAAACTGCTGGGGGAAATCAAAGTGCTTCCCTTTTTTTATTTTCCCATTTTCCTGAGGAGGACCTTTCCTTGCACATGCAGCAGCAGCAGCGTCCATCTGGCATACATTTACAGAGTACACAAGTGCAATAATAACCCGCTGAATGCTCCCTGTGGACACTGCGCAGGAAAGCAAATGCTTGACTTTACATCTAAAATAGAACTTACCAGAGGCAACCTCAACAAAAACAGTCTACTGGCACATTTAACAGACGATGAAAAGAGGAACAATGGCACACAAAGGGCACACATGTGGATGCTGTGAGCCAACAACAGTCTGTAATTAGGCAAGTTAAAAAGCAGTGAAATTAAGCAAATGAGAATTCCACCTAACTGTTTACATTAACTTTTGCTTGCTGAATGTAAATACAGATGCAGTTGATAGCAAATGAATGTTCATCATGTTGTTCAAGAAACCTGGTGACATGCACTACCAAATGATTAACTAATCTGCAACAGTGCACTTCAGAGGACAAACAGAAGCTTTTACTTTGCCTATTCCTGCTTACTTGCACTTAAATGCGCTGAAGTTGTATGTAATGTTTGATACACAGATGATAGTCCTAAAATATTCAAAGCGTTCTTAATAATAATAATGGTAGGCACCTTGATGCTTTATAAGACTCTTTCAGAAATGTAGAGTTGATGCAGTTTTTAGGAGTCTTTGTATGCTTGTTAGCTGTCAAATAAGATAACCTTCAGACTTTGATCATTTGAAATAAGAATTTGATGTGATTTTCTTTAAAGCTACATCTGTGTTTTTCAGCTCAATCAGTGAAATAAAGTATGTATCCACATCCATCTTTTGTAATATTTAGTTCTAGAAGTGAGGCCCCATTTGTCAATATTGTCTAACAATGAAAGATACACTAGTGAGTAGCTAAAGAAATGTAAACTGAGCTTCCATAGCCTTGGCATGAAATCCACATCAACTGACTGCGGTAGGAGCTCAGATTTCTGTTTACTTCAACTTCAGAGGAGCCACAACTACCAAATGATTCCAGATATTTAAAAAATAATAATAATAACCTTGATCAATGACGCATCAATGGTACTGCTAAATATATAAATCAGCCCAAATCACAAGTTTAATTATAAATCAACCAAGGCTGACTCTAGTCTAGTGTCTCAGCAGAGCTACGTTGCTGCTGGCCTCAGCCGACTTCGAATGGCTGCACTCAACAAACTAATGTTTCTTTATTAGTTAACGGGCGACAAAGAAAACTCAGAAGATACTCGTTGTTAGAAGGATCATATCAGTATATCAACTAGTAGTTATCATATCAACTACGGTCATTTCTACGGCACTCAGTTCTATCAGTTAACTTAGCCACTCTGTTACGTTAATTAACGCTGAATAATCTAACATCCAAACACATTCGTTACGAAAAGTTAGCCGACTGACCGGAGTTCGTTTCTTTATCAACGTTACTTTGCGATTTTTAGGCACCAACTTGTGAAGTTAGCAAACAGTGTAGCTAACATTAGTTCCTCCTTTTCGTTGATTAGCATGTAGGCTAATTAGCTACTAACGTGTACTGAGCGGAGTTAGCCAACTTAAATAGCTCTCCAACTTGGGTTCAACTTTGTCGATGCGGCAACAGAGTCAACATTAGCTAGCTGCTCCAACTCAAGACGATGTTTCCGAACAAAACTTACCTATGATTGCAAGTCCGCTGCTATTCCTTTCGTCTGCACTGGATTGTTGGTGGAGTTTTTCGTCCAGCAGTCAGCTACTAAGTCACTAGCTCTCCAGCTAAGTATAAGCTAGCTATGTTAGCTATCATACATTAGCCTGTGAGCGGATAGTGATTTGTTTTGAAGAAGGGTCAGTCTGCGACAGTACAGGCTACTGTTAGCTAGCTCAACTTGGCTAACGTTAGTCAAATGTGGCTTTAAAGACTACCCAATGAACACTTCTCCTGCATTAGTGGCTACCTGGCGTCAATAGCAATACGTATTATTTCAGATACAGAGTGTATGGTTCGTACTCACGCGCAAGGTAATTCAAATGCGGGGCTAAGTTGAGCATGCAAAGCAGGAAAAACTCACTCATATTTTTCGAATCAAAATGGCGACATGGTTACGAGAGCGCGCAGTAGACCTACACGGGGACGTGCACTGACTACAGACGGCACTGAGCTCTGCAAAACATCTCACAACGCTGAAGGATGCGACACTGTCGTTTTAACTCATCCCCTTTAAGCAGCTGTCAAATTCTAACAGTCCTAACATCAAATACATATTATTTCTGTAGCTGCGGCTCCAGGAACCCTTACAGTTTCAGTACAAAGCCGGGGGACTTTCTGAGTCTCCAAAAACCGAGAAGAGAGTTTCGGTCGATCTTCCTGAGGTTCTTTGGTCCTTACCGTGACCTGGATGCCTGAGCATCTCCACAGACCCTAACCCTGACATACTGTCTTGTGAACTCTGGTAGTGCCAGTGTCCTAACTGCAGAACACTGGAGGAAATACACTATAAACAATTCATTAATGTGTTATGACATAAAACGGTTCCGCCGATGGAAACATTGCGAAAGTTCTGTTGAAAGCAGCTCGCTTCGTGCACAATAAAATTGTCAGTGTTCATTCTTTCGCCACATTTACTACTGATCATTAATGTCATTTCTTAACTCTTTAACAGCAGTGCCAAAGTGCATTACTGATCACACTTAGTCGTAGAGCTGCTGCTACTGACCTAAACACACATTTACAGCCGTTTTTCCTGTTTTTTTTTAGCGTCAGAATATGTTCATTTAAAATAAGTATTACTGCAAAATAAACTGTACTATGGTTTATATCAAATTATAACTCTAAACGTCTGTGTGTATTTGTGCTATATGGTCAAATTTTAAATGTCCATGTATTTCTAATATATTAAATAATCAACAAAAATAAATAAATCAGTATGACTAGTACAGGTAGTTTTGATATAAATATAGTGAAATGTGAATTATACATATATTATCTGAATTCAGTCTCATGATTTTCAAAGCATTTCCAACTAAGTTGTTATTTAATTTTAAATATATCAGTACCTTGATTAATATCAGAGTGAACAGTTCATATGGCCTTGCTTTCCTTTCAAATATCAGCAACCCAAGAGGTTTCTTACAGTTGTGTGACCAGCAGTCCAGAAATTGTGTTAAGACACCGCGTGCTGCGAGAACAGCTTTAGCTTCCTGTCAGTGATTCTCCACATCTCTGGAACTCCTCTGGAGGGATGAACACCATTCCTCCAAAAGATATTCCCTCATGTGGTGTTTTGATGGAGGTGGAGAGTGCTGTTAAACACATCAGTCATCAAACCATTCCGTAAGTGTGCCCTACAGACAGGATAATGTCCATTGTGAAAGAAACCAATCTCATTAAAACAGAAAGGTTTCATTGTGGGATAGAGGTGATCAGTATGAACACTTCTTGTAATTTACAGTGACTCGTCCTTTATCATAACAGAGCCACCAGATTCCCTCAGTGTAGGTTTCAAGGATTTAGGTTTTTACTTCAATTTGTCACTGATCTGTATATGAAAGTACGTGCATGTCACTCTCAGATATACAACTTTAGTAACATTGCATTGATTACATTTGGTGTCTCCTCCTTATAACAAAGCAAACAAGCACTCAAGGATTTGTACAATTCATTAGTAGCCACTACTGGAAGTTAGTCAGTTTTTTAACCTGACTTTGCAAAATCTCAAACGTTTAACTATTCAAACTAAGTTATGTTTCCTTAACTTTCCTCCACTAGTCCCATTTTCTTTTTCCACCTTTCGCTTACCTTCCTTCCCGTCCCTCATCTCCTCCTTCCTTTCCTTGGACTTTACGGCCTCTCCTCGCCCATTCACTGTATCCCACAATGCATTGCGTTCACTCGCTGGATCATGGACCAAAGCGGTAAGCAAAATGCCAAGTGGGGCCGACGTTAGCAAACTTCTTTTCTATGCTATATTTTAATTTAAGCGGGTGCTGTTGTTGTTCGAGCAGCGGTTTATATAACGACTAATCCTCCTTGAATATGACTAAGAGAATAAGAGTTTGCGACGGCTTCCCATTAGCTTCCACAGCAGTGTTAAAGCTAGCATGCCCCAGGCTAGTCACAAACAGGCTAGCGATGGAGCAATGCTAGAACACATCAGTTCACTGAAAGTTAACCTTAACTTTCACAGGAATAAACGGGACTGACTGTAATGTTGCACTAGAGTTTGTGCTGATACTAGCTGAAAACGATAATTTTTCAGACGTTACTTAGCGTTCTCCCAGCTGCGACTGGGTTGGGGCGCGAATGCTACCTGACGAATGTTAGCATGTGCTAACTAATCTAGCTAAAGGTGTTGTCAGAACTGAATTAATAGCATGACTTTAAAATATTTGCTGAAATGTACAAGTCCTTGTTTGCTTGCATTGTTAAAGCCAGATAGCCAAGCTCACGTTGAATATATTAAAATGTAAAAATATGAATCTCGCTGGTTATCTAAAGTTACAATACGCTACTAACTTTTACGTGTTGGGCTTACCTTGTCTAAACTGGGGGCTTTCACTGTCGGGATTTTCTACAAAAGGTTATATTGCAACGGAATATGGTAGTATTAATCCAAAATATCTTTTAAAATGTGTACGTGTGACACTATCGCATACCCTGTCATTACATTTGCATGTCCTGAGCTAGAGCATTTTCCTTCAAGTCAATTTTAAACCTTTGTCTCCTTTATTTGAGCTTTAAAAAAAATAAATTTAAGATAAAATGCTTCAAAAAAAATCAATTGTTCATGATGATTTCAACCAGTTGTTTAGTATAAACTTGCAGAAATCAGTGGGTGTAACTGATGAAATGTTGATGTGCCCTTTGAGTCCTTCTTGTCGTGTAACCTTGGTTGACCTAAAAATGTGACCTAACAAAGCTCACTGAATGTAATAATTTATGTAGGGCCATTTTCCTCCACAGACAATGATCTTCAAGGAAGTGATGGCTCTGGGAGTTTGGGTGGCCCAGATGTTCGCAGACGGATTCCCATCAAACTCATATCCAAGCAGCCCATAAGGAGCAAACCTCAGCAGCGCACCCAGAGACCAAGCAGCAGACCATGTAAAAGTGAGGCTGGAGAAGATGGTAGGCACACTGTGCAGAACAGCATGCCTATTAGCTTCGCATTTTTAGGACTATCACCTTAAACACAGTATTCTTAGTGGGAATGATAAATAATTGTGACTATGCAGGGATAGACAAACAAAAATAGTTTGTAGAAGCTCATATTGTGGATTTTGTTGAGTCTGTTACAAGCATGGGTTAATCCTGGGAGTTATTTCTGAGACAGCAGCCAAAGCAGTGTTGACAAAGGTTATAAGTTGGACCTCCTCTTTGACAAGGGGGTTTTTCTGTTCTGCCATATGTCGCCATACAGTTTAAGGCTTTACACGAGAAAAATGACAGTTTTGTCTGTGTCTTATCTACAAGCAGTTAATGCTCAAGGAAAGCTCTTAATGCTCCTTGCTAATGTTTTCTTACTTACTAATCATTGGGTCTGGTATACAATATCTTGTATATATAAAGAAATTCTGGAAAAGTATTACTAAATACTTGCTGATATTTTCTAAACAAAATCAGATGTCAGGTTGTTCTTTTAAACCACCAGAGGGCATCCCTGAATTAGGTTCAGATGGCAAACAACACAGTACTCTCTTTACTTGTATTATTTGCAGTAAAAATGCATTATTTTAACATGTACTGTATGTGTGTGTGTGTGTATACACACACACTTCTCCTAAGTAATCATAAAATGCCTGACAAGGAAACTTTTAAAAAACTTTAATTTTTAGTTTTGACTTGAGTTTTATTTTGGATCAGATATCGAATTAAGGTTCTTGGCCTCCACTTTTGGAACAATAAAATTATACTTGATCCAATCAGAGTTTTGGGGCTTCGTCAGTTTTTTTGTTGTTGTTGTTTTTTTGTTTTTTATTTTACAACTGCATCATTAATAACTACTCGTGTTTTTGTGATTATCAGACAATTTTGGCTTCAAACAGGAGGACAGGTTCGATTGTGGTGCTAAAGCTGGCGATGTGTTTGCAAGTCAGAGGAGATTTCCCCAGCCACTGTTCTGGGACTATAAGGTATGGCATCCATGAGGAGATATTTTAATAATAAACAACTTTTGCTGCTAATGTCAGATACACAGGAGGGATGAATGGTATGAGCAAACAAAAAAGTAGGCAAATCCTCTGTGCTAATGATATTCTTGTAACTGTGTGTGCTTTATCAGTACTAAGCTGTTATTCTGATGTCTTGTTCCTTTTCCAACAGTTAAATTTAATTGGTGAGAGGGATGAAGTTCCAATTCACTTCTGTGACAAATGTGGCCTCCCTATTCAGCTATATGGACGGATGGTATGTTCTTGTTGTCTTTTGTCAGCAGAAGTTTTTCAACTAAAGTTTTATGTCTAATTTTTGCCCCCTCACTCCACAGATTCCCTGTAAACATGTTTTTTGTTATGACTGTGCTTTGCTTCATGAGAAGAAAGGAGAGAAGATGTGCCCAGGGTGAGACATTTTAACTTTCATAACTTTCATTCGAGTTTTGCTATCTGTAGACATCTGAATTTCTCAAAAGTGGGATAGACAGCATCACAGAAAACCTCCTGAAAATATAGTTGGCAGTAAGGATATGTGGAATGGATTAACTATATCACAGTACTTTTTTTTTTTTTAAATCATTGCAAAGAAATTAGTTTTAGACGAGTATAATTCTTGACTGTTGGACAGATTTCCTGCATCCTAATTTCTGCAGCAGAGATGGGAGGAGGTGGAAAAAACTCCTTTTCAGGGGTCATGAATTCTTTTTTGGAAACAAAACGCTTGAGAAAACTCTTGCAAGTTAAACTATACTCACTATAAAATGACTGAAAATACTCACTAGCCTAACAACATTAAGGCTACAAACAGCCCATAATGCAACACTCTTCGGAAGGCTGTGACACCGGTACTCTGTTTATTCAAAAACATATTTTTTTGTGTTCCTCGAATATAAAGTAATCCCCACTTTTTCTAAACTAATTTCCAGGAAAGAATCTAGTCTTATGTTTGAGTCGTTGCTGTATTTGGTAAAGGAACATCAGTTTGTACACTCTGTTGTTTCACTCTGTTTTGTATATTCTAATATTGTCCAACCCTAATTATATCTATAACCCAAAATGGCATCATTCTGGGAAAACAAAATGTGAAAGTAATTGTTACAAGTGGTATGTAGCATTTTGTGCCGCAGCTCCTCTGGTGCATTTGCATTTAGACCTTGCTTTGTGCCACTAACCGTTTGCCTTTGTGTTCAGTCTCACCCTCTATAACTGCACGGATCCAGTTCAGCGCATCGAGCAGTGCCAGCGTGGTTCCCTCTACATGTGCAGTGTTGTGCCGGGATGCAAGCGTACCTACTTGTCCCAGCGTGACCTCCAGGCCCACGTTAACCACCGCCACATGAGAGCGGCCAAGTCTTCTACAGGCCGCCAGGAGCCTGTCCACCTGCCTCCTGCATCTGAGGTTCCTGACCGGTTCCGTGTGCCTCCACCTCACTTACCCAAGAACCACGTTCACCTTCCTAACCCGCTCCAGCATGGCAGTCACGACCCCTACAGTCAGCCACCGCCACCATCCGCTCATGATGGCCCGCCCCCGACCTCTGGTCTGGGTCCTGAGACATTCCGCATTGCCACGGTCACGACTCGGAAACACAGTAATCTCATCACTGTTCCCATCCAAGATGACTCCTCGTCCTCTCGTGAGCCCCTCTCTGCTGGGCCAGGCCCCGGTCAGCCCCCGCACCACCACCCTGGGGACTATCCTGGACAGCCGCCTGTAGTGTCACACTCTCACCACATGATGGCACCGCCACAGCAGCACTTCGGCCCCCCACCTCCCCCTCCTCCTCCCATCAGCCACCCAATGCAGCATCCTCCCCAGGCTTCTGGGACACCACACCTGGTGTACAACCAGGCACCTCCTCCTCCCATGTCCACAGCCCCTCCACCTATCACCCCGCCACCAGGGCACATCATGGGCCAGATGCCCCCGTATATGAACCACCCGCCCCCTGGACCTCCTCCACAACACAGCGGCCCCCCTGTTAACGCTCCCCCACCTCACCACTACAACCCTAACTCCATGCAGCAGTTCCCTGAAGACCAGGGCACCCTTAGTCCCCCGTTCAGCCAGCCAGGAGGGCTCAGTCCTGGGATGTGGCCTGCTCCAAGAGGGCCCCCACCTCCACGGATGCAGGGTCCCCCTCCACAGGGCCAGATGCCTGGGCCACACCACCCAGATCAGGGCCGCTATCGGCCTTATTATCAGTAAACTGCCAAATGAATGAATAGGCAAGAGTCTGTATCATTCTGTTCCATACTACTTGTCTGAATAATGTGATAGTAAACCTCAGGGTTACAGGATGTAGGACTTTGCTTTTGATAAAACTGCCCCCAAGCAAATGTGTATGTGGTGCACATTTAGTTAACTGTGCTGAACTCCCCATTGAACTTACTTGGACAAGAGCAGGAATGTCCCCTTTTTTATTAGCTTATGGTAAATATCTCTGTATATATGTCAGTCTCACATATGTGTACATGGAAAGACGTTAACTATGTCTCAATAAATTTTTAACAGAAGATTTCTATCTCATCTTTGGTCAAAATAGTAACTGGAAGAAGAAACCACAAGCTGGTTTGTTTGACAGTTATTACATCACCGAAAACAACATTCAAAAACTGGTCCGTCCAAAAAGCCATTTTTTGTGATTTATTTATTTATTCTGAAGTAAAGCATTTCTGTAAAGTGTAAGTTAAACAATACAAAGAAGTAACATGTTTTTAACCTTGTATTAAGATTTGACAATAAGCAAATGTGTGCAGTGTTTAAGATGTCAGTCCTTTGGCATTGTCTGGTGATCAGTGGCCAATTTTTAGAGTTTAGGTTTCAGTGGAGAGGCTTGCACCACATGTAGTTTCTTAGCTGTTAGACTGCTTTCACTGAAGTGGTACAGTTTGTCATAGTGTCATAGTTTGAAGCTGGAACGTTGCTTACTAAAAAAGCAGGTTAACCATGTTCGGACCCCTCTGGCTCTCTTTGCAGGAGCTGACACCAAATCTGGGAACCACTAAGTTTAAGTGTCCTGAAAATAAAGTAGTAGTTATGCTTGTCTTATCACTTAGTTTTTTCCCCTGAAATAACAGAACTACAGAGCTACATGGACTGAAAAAATGCATTTTCATTTGAAGGAAAGGAGTTAGCTAAGCAACTGTTTTGTTTATGTTGATTTAGAAATTTAGGTCCTCTTTTGAGCATTCAAAAACCAGCTAATATGAGGCTAGATATACATGATTATGGGTGTCTTAAAGATTTATTGCATGGTTTGAAAAGGGAAGTGGCAGCAGATTATAACAAGGCCTATGACAACAAACACTGAATCATCCATCCATCCATTCATTATCTATACACTGCTTAATCCACACTGAATCATCTCTAATGAAATTAGTTGAAATGATGGATTTCAGCAGACTATTTAAAATAACTTTTTAAAACAAAATGGGAGGGTGTGTTTAAAAGAAATACAAAATCAACAACATTGCACAGGAACAACATAGTGGAATATGAGATTAAAATGTTTCAGTATAAACATGGAATTGTTGTAAAAAGTTCTTCTTGAATGGATGTTGCAAGAGACAGTTGCTGTTCTACAGTTTAGTGTCTTTTACCTGCAAGAAACAAAAGATTTGTTAAAACTGGGAAGTAAAACCAGGAAACATAACTACTGAAACATTACTCCTATAGTCTCCATCAAGAGGTTGTGTTGCATAACTATCATTAAAACACAACTGGACCCAATAAGTCAGATACACAGTAAAGTGGTTTTAAATCTGCTTTTAACACATGCTCAAAATTTACATATTGGATGTATTCATTTGATTGTATTTTTTGTTGCACTGACAAAACTGACATACTTTTAATATAGCTTCTATTTATTTTTAGCGCATATAGGAAGTATATCTTTCATTTCACATTCCATAATGCCAACTACCAACAGCTAGACCAAACTAATTTAGTATCAATGTGCGATGGAAATCGAGGTCCTAAAAAAGCCTTTTTTGTGTGTGTAGTAAACAGAACCATATGACTTCAACTAGTTTGATTTTGTGTTTAACTGCATCATTGTTTTTGCTGTGACTCTTCAGGCTAGTTGAGACACAACAGACATTTTTTTTTTTTACAGCAGGCATTCTGACCTCTCAAAGCAGGAAGAGCACAAGTGAAACAAATGCCATAAACAATAGCTCAGTTCCTGTAAGTTTCCAACCCATGACAGCAGGCAGCAGGCTGAGCAGTTGGACCTCCCCTAGTGGAGTGCAACCATCTTTAATAACCTGTTGTCCCACCACAAGAGTATCAAAATGTCTGCTGCGAAAAAGGTCCATGATGTGTAGCTCACAAGCCGGTTTTTCTTACCACCCAGCCTCGAATCCTGTTCTCATTGTATTTTTCAAATACGTTCAGCATGGCATCATGCAGGGTTGGGAAGAACATGGAGGTCAGAATCTCATCATCAAAGAACATGTAGCTGTTCAGTTTCTCCAGGATGTAAGCTGTCGACACATGCAAACAATAACTGGATGTACAAATGTGCTTTTTAGTAATACAGTCACAGTTGCAACAGGGGTCTGTGAAATGCTAATAAAACTCACCATCGCAAGAAACAATGTAAACATCTACATCAACTCGGATGAACTCTTTGAGCATCTGTAGAGATAAAAAAGAGTAAAGAGTAAAAGTTAATTGCATGTGTATTGCAGTAGCAATAACTAAAAAGGCAGACTTTCAAGTACAGTCTCTCATGTTAGCAACAGCGAACTTAGTGAATCCTGTGTAGCTGCCAATGGTTTGAGACGAACTTACTTGAGTTGTAAGGCTGCTGGTAAAGGTGAGACTAATTTAAATAATGAATACTTAATGTATTGCTGTGTAATTGTGGATTTCCCATCTGGAATCGGTAAATTCTTGTGTTCTAACCCTTAATAACACATCATAATTTATTTAGCCATTAGATTTGTGTATCAGAAAGTTGTTTTTTTTTCCAATAACGCGATGAGCTCCCAGATATGTTCGTGTTTTTAAAATTGTATTTAAAGGAGTTCAAACCTGCAGCAGCTACAGCACTAACATGCTGCTGACACATCCACCCGTTATCTATACCTGCTTCCACCTTTAACGGGTTGCATGGAGCTGACCCAGCTGACACATTAAAAGCCCTTGAGGTTATTAATAATCTAATGATGATATATACATATATCAGTCACAGTGACCAAACCAGGACTTTTACTTTAATATCAATTATTTTTAAATACATACATACTTCTTCCACCACTGGAAAACTATACCAAAAAGAACCAGTCAAAGTACACCTTCCAATAATACTGTAGAGCACCGTTTTGAGTCCCTTCATAGCAGAGATGTCCAGGAAGGAGACAGCAGAGAAGTCCAGGATCAGGCTGTGGAGGTCCACTCTGGGAACACTGATGTTGTCAGGAAGCTCAGCATTCCAGTTCATCTGGAATGGAAGGTTCTTGAGGTCTGTTGGCAGGTCCAGTGCCTGTAGATCCACACAAGCCTTCATGACTTCATCATGAAGGCTTGTGTGGAATAAATCCATCAAGCATGTCTGTGGGACAGAAGTAGGAAAAGTAAACTTTAAAAATAACTGTAAAAACTGATGGTGTGGTGGTTTCTACTGTATTGCATTGTTTCACCTCTGTAATGCCATGGTCTCTTTTCATTAGTAATTTCTTGATTTTCCTGAGGGCCTTGTTCCTCTTCCTCAAAACCCTCAGAGGATTAAATCCCACCTGGAACAACATGGTGGTATTATGCTCATGTTTATTTATTCTAAATGAAAAACAGACTGAAACAGTGGAAAAGGAGCATGTGTGTCATACGTACAGCTTCGACAAGTTTGTCCCTGAAGAACTCAGTGTTGGCAAAGAAAATAGGTGCAGGTATCCGGAAGATTTTTACTCCTTGTGTTTCAAATGTCTGAGAAAGGAAGCATCATGGACTTAAGTCATTCAACAAGCATTTGTTGTCACCAATTATTTCATTTCATTTAACATACTTACATGAAGGTAATCTTTGCGATCTCTGTAGAGGTCAGTCCCAGGTATGTTAGCCAAGATGGAACAGCGGGGGCTAAACAGATATGAACAGTGTTCAGCAATACTGGTCTGAAAAGTTCAGGTAAAGTACTACCTTAGAACATACAGAAACAATTAGTACACCCACTGACACTGGGAGCATTACCAGTTTAAAAAAGAGCAGCTTTACAATGACTCATTTTAACACTGGGCTAACCCTTGATGGTCACCAGCACTTTGGGGGTCAAGTAGGGCTACACATCTTTTCCACTGTCATACTTCAGTACCCAGCCACAATGCACTCTAAGAACAGTAGACTTCTTGTGTGTATGAAGGCTGAAAAAAAAGATGTGGTTTGACCTAAAAATCTTGTGTCTGAAAATACCCCTTTGTTTACTTTCTCTCTGATACTCCATCGGCATCATTTCCACTGTTGGAATACCTGGACTACTGACACAAGACAGGTAGGGTCCATGGATTCATTCAGGAATTATAAAGATTCATGAGACAAGACTACATTTTTCTCATCTTCAGCTGTTGATGGCCCTGTGCCCCAGTAGCCTCAATAATCTGTTCTTGGCCAGCAGGAGTGGAATCCATCCACTTCAAGGTTGAGCATGTTGTCCATTCTGAGCTGTTTCTCTACTTCGCACAGTTGTACAGAGTTGTTATCAGAATGACTGTAGTGCTTCTGTCAGGCCTAATCAGTCTGGCCGTTCTCTGACCTCTCTCATCAGCAAGGTGTTGGTCTGCAGAACTGGATGGTTTTTATTTAAAAAGCAGGTGTTCTTGATGAAGTTTGGTAATATATACAAATACATATATATAGTAGAGGATAGTTAATATAGTTTTTTATACTAAATAGGGAGTGGTTTCAAAGTATGTATTTACAAGAGTTTTGTATGGCCTGTGGGCTGCACATCTGATTTGAAAGCCTTATTGTTTCCAGAAGATGTTCATGTAGCTTTGTGTTTTCAATGAGTTTGTTGGAGTCTATGGACTTTGTTTCATACAAGTGCAAGCATTTACAGAATTGCCTTTGTAACATTGTCAAAGAATGGACACAAATTTTTGGATGCATATTGGTGGTGGTTGAGAGGAGAGCTCATTCAGGAGGCACAAGGATCCAAAGAATGGTATTGAGTTGCGTAGTGGAACAGACATTTTGAAGCTTAACCCATACTGGACAGAGTCAGGATAAAGTCACTCTTGCTTTTTTTATGTGCCTCTCGTGAGCATCCCAATATAATGAGAAATTTTACCTAGCTTGAGGACACCAGTGTAGGAAAAACACAGTTCTTTCCCACTTTGCTGCCTCTGGAATGTTGATGGTAGTACACTTAGTTTGCATATTAAGAAACAAATGTCAGATGTCATAAAGAGTTTAATTACAATTGAGTCCTGAAGACGACAGTGAGTAGCTCCACCCCGAGGCCCACACCCAGACCAATATCCAGTCCCAGCAGGGTGGCACCCAGGCACGTTCCCACCCACACCACCTGCAGACAAACACTTGAGGTTAAACACTGAAAGGGAAAAAACTGTGGCAAATAAACACGTAAATAACAGAAAAGTTACATTCTAGACATATACCGATTTTGGTGATCCTTTGTCAATATGATATGATCCATCGATTATTGACTTGCTGATTATCGGATCTTATATTCAGCATCTTTTCCATTTATTGATGTTACTCTTTTGTAAAGGAAATTTTTGATCATTAAATTAGCTTAAAAATGCATTGGTTTGACTCTGATGCACTGATTTCTCTCTACATTTAGTTACTCTTGACTATTATGCCATCTATCTGATGGTTACACATTGCAAGCAATAGCTATTCACACTTGAGGAAACATTCAAAAAGTTATCTTTTAATTAAACATATGGGAAACATAAATAAAAGCATTTCAACAAAGTCTTATGTTGGAGTTTGCATTCGTCCAAATTTTGACCACAAGATTTTAATTTTTACTGCAAATGTGTACCAGTTCCAAATGTAGGGTTTTAGTGTGGTAGGAAATAAGATATACTTATTTCCACACACTAAAGCAAGTGATTGCATTAATTACAATTATTAAAACCAACCTTTGAATTATTCGTCCAGCGATATAATCTCAGAGTCAGCATAATAATTCTAATAAATTGTTTGCTCTTGGTGCTCAGTCAAGAGTGTTTGATAAAGTTAAGGGAATTAACTTAGAGCTTAGGTAACTAAAGATCACATACGTAAAGTGACTGGATGTAAGCTATAGAAAACACAGGAAACAACTGTATACACACACACAACATTTATTACTAACTAAACAAACAAACAAATAACAACAACAAACATAAAATATAAAATACAAACAATGATGAAAATGTTGGTTGAGAAATATGAATGTGAAAACCTAATGTGGAACAGAGTGGTGGCTTGGAGACTTAAAAGTCTTTTCACCCGAAGCAGCAGATAATCTGTTAAATTTGGAATATTGGTCTGAAGGCCAATTGTAATTATGAAACACCCGTTAAGAGACAGAAGCTTGATACTTGCAGTTTCCAGGGTGCAGCAGCGTCTGGGAGACGAGGCCTTCAGCTTGAGTTGGATCAGGGTGTGGCAGTTGAAGTTGTTACATTGGACCAAAATGGGCAGCTCTCCTGTCTGATGGAGAGAGCCTAGAGAATGCCCGATGGAAAGAGAGAAAAAAAAGAGAATGCTTCCCGGGTGAAAGACTTTAAGTGAAACTAATGACCAATCAGAGCGAGCTCCACTCCCAGGGGGGCTGTTAGATATGACACCCCAGTATCACCGGGAGGTCATGAGGTGGTCATGAGTTTTGCTCTGAAAGTAACAATGTTCCTTCAGAACTATATGTACTTTCAATTATACAAAGTTAAGCTTGTTTGAAATGAATGTGTCACATGTAAAGCTTCATGGGGAGTCTAAACATGACTGAGCTATCTTGTACGGTTACAGAGATAACACAATGCTTAGGATATAGTAATAATAACAAGCTGATAAATTAAAGAAGGACTTATCCAACTGTAATTAAGCTTTGGAGTATTCATCAGGATATGATATATCATAACATTTAACGATTAAACTTAACACAAGGTAAGAAGGCACATCTTCTGGTGCTGTGTCTTATTGTTCATTGATGAGTTCAGTTCTTAAGTTGTTTGTTGCATGCCACAGGAAATGAGGGGTCAGCAGAGCAATACGTTAAGCCCAGGGCACTTCATTGCGCCTGGCCATCTGGACCATTTATTAAGGTCTGAGTGGTCTTGAATGTTTTTCTTTGTCTTCCCCCAAAAGCTCATGTGTATTAGATCCTTTGAGGCTCGACGTAAGTGTGATAAGGAAATTCCCAATGGGGCTCTGCTTCCTCCAGCTTCGACTCCTCTGAGTCTGCAGAGCTGATTTACATGGTCCTGTGACTTGCATGACAGTTCTGTCTTGTTTTTATGGCTGGAAAGTTCAAATGAAGTTTTTCGAATCCTTTTGGGCATCTGTGTCTGTCCATATCCTACACAAATATAGTTTACCAGTTATCTTTTTTTTTTTTTCTGCAATTTTATTTTTATTTGGGAACAGTACTTGAGTAAACAGTTTCAGTGTCATCATCTTTATTTTTACAATACACACATAATAGAGAAATAAAATAAACAAAATGAAAATGCACGAATATCTTCTGCAGAGAACTAGCTCAGGTCCTTCTCCTCAAATATTTCAGATAGACCCCAGTCTATTCAGCATCTGTCCTTCTCAAACAAGCACTTCAGGTTCACTGCGTTAGGCCACTGTCCACATCGTTATTAGCATGCTCTTTTGAACACATCAATTCCTGTCTCAACATCTTGTTACTTCACTCAAGGAGCACATTCCAACTATGAAAATTTCCCAAAGGGTTCACATTTTTGTAAAGTTAACTATGTACAGAAAAAAGAAAGGTGTAACGAAGGTCGCTTACACTTCTCCATGAGTATCTAAAAAATACTTGACACTTGCAAAGTTATATAAAGTCTGCCCTAAGTGGGGTTATGTACATAATCTAATTTTCCCATATCTGCTTGAATTTATCCTTCTGAACTCTCAAGGAATAAGTGATCTTTTCCATTTTATAGATTTCTAGTACTATGTTGTGCCACTCCTCTCTTGTGGGAGGTGCTGGGTTGAGCCATCTTCTTGTTATAGATTTCTTACTGGCTGCGAGCAAGGCTTGCAACAGCTTTATGTCCTTCTTTTGTGCCAACACTTGCACGTTCCCAAGCGAAAGAGAGTTAAAATCCAGGGGTATTTTAGACTTAAATATGTTGGTTAATGTCTTATGAATATCTCTCCAGAACTGGTTACGGTTGGGACAGTTCCAAAAAATATGAAAGTGATTTGCCACGTTCTCTCCGCATTGTCTCCAGCAAGTCTGAGTCAGGCCATGGCCTTTAACTTGATGTGGGGTCCTAAAATATCTTATCACATTTTTCCAGCAGTGTTCTCTCCATTCTGTGGAATTAGTAGAAGACCACTGGAAAATGCAAATTTGTCCCCATGCTTTGTCTGAAATCTCAATTCCTGATTCCCTTTCCCATCTTCTTTTAACATGCATGGTGTTCTCATTCGCAGCTAGTAGGAGAACCTTGTATAATTTTGAGGTGGTTTTTGTGATTGTGGACTGGTATGCCGACAATAGGATGTTGAAAAATTCAGTTTCTACTATTGTTAGGTCCTTATGTCTGCAGTTTTTTATCAACGTAGTGACGTACTTGCAGGTACCTATAGAAATCATTTTTCTGTAGTCCATAGTTCCCCTGCAAAAACTGGAAACTTCGTAGAACCCCTCTGGTAGTGAAGGACCAGCTGGTGGTTAAGCCATTTGCTATCCACTCCTTGAATCTTATGTCACTCCTGTTAGGGGTAAACTCCGTATCATGAGCACACCACCTGAACAATTTAAGGATCCGATTAGCCCCACACAGTTTAACTACCTTCTGCCATAGTGTGATTGTATACACTATCCAGGGGTTCGTCCTTTCCTCGTTCATTTGAAGCACTAACCCTCTATCTGCCACCATTGCTTGGAGAGGTATTTCAGCAACTAATCCTGATTCTAAGTCCTTCCAGTGGGACTTATACTTCTGGTTGCACCAATAAAGTGGTGTCACTGACTGTGAGGCATAGAAATATTTTCTCAAGCATGGGAGGCCTGCTCCCTCCTCCTCCCTACCCAGTTGTGGGACACTAAATCTTAATCTTGGCTTCTTTCCTTGCCAGATGAATCGAGAGATCCATTTGTCCCATTCCCTGAATTGATCATCTTGTATGTCAACTGGAAGGTTTTGAAACATATAGAGTAGGCGAGGCAAAATGTTCATTTTGACTACGGTTATCCTTGAGTTCAGTCCCAGAAATGGGATGAGGTTCCATCTATGCAAGTCAGATTTTATTTTTGTAGACAGGGGACCATAATTTGTTTCAGGCAGTCTTGTGAGATTTTTTGTCAGACTTATCCCAAGATATGACAGTGTTTCTCTGTCCCATTCCAAGTTAAATTTATCCCTCATATTTTGCGAGGCACTGAAATTTAAAGTCAGGACCTGTGTTTTAGAAATGTTTAGCCTGTACCCTGACATCTCTCCAAATTTACTCAAAAGTGACATTAGTTCTGAGAAGGATTTCTCTGGCTCCTCTAAAAAGACCAGGACATCATCAGCAAACATGGCTAATTTGTGTTGGGCACCTGCAACCTTAATACCTTTGATTTCCTCTTTTTGCCTCACCCACTGACCCAGTGGCTCTATGAATAAAACAAAAAGTAAAGGGGAAATAGGGCACCCTTGTCTAGTTCCTCTCTTTAAGGCAAAGGGTCCAGAGAGGTCTCCGTTAATCTTTACACGGGCCATTGGCTTGTTGTATAAAGATTTTATCACATGAATGAAATTGTCCTGAAAACCAAATTTCCTCAAAACTTTATAAAGGAATGCCCATCTAACCGAATCAAAGGCTTTCTCTGTGTCTAGTCCCACCAGTATCGCCTCTGATTTATCCCTATTCTTCTGCTGTAATACATGGAGGGTTCTTCTTATATTATCTGAAGTTTGTCGCTGATGGATGAAGCCTGATTGGTCTAGATTTATAAGATTAAGTGACGTTCCAGTCTGCGGGTTAGAACAGATGTGAATAATTTATAATCCAGATTGAGAACACTAATAGGACGGTAATTTCCACATTCCTGTCCATCCTTGCCTTCCTTGGGAATAACTGAAATGACTGCCTCATTCCATGAAGGAGGTATTCATTTTTCTTCATGACGACCTTCAGCGCATCCCACAGAATAGCCGGAGACACCTCCCCTGAATCGTTTATTTCCAGGTATTCTTTTATATCATTTTTTAATCTTCCCAGAGTGAATGGATCATTAAAAATATGAGAATTTAGTTTCCATTGTGTTCTCCTGTGTTTCCTTCCTATATCTATTTGTAGTAGGATTGGGCTGTGATCTGAAATGTCTATTGTCATAATGTCACAGTCTCTCATTTTAAATCGATCTGTTGTAAGCATAAAGAAGTAGTCTAGTCTGGAGTAAAGTGAGTGTGGGGAAGAGTAGTGGGTATATTCTCTATTCTTGGGGTGTAGTTCCCGCCATACATCAATTATGCCTAATTCTTTCATCATTGTTCTCAGTTTTCTTTGAGCAGGTGCAACAGATGCATCCAAAGTGGGCTGTAATCTAATGTGAAAGTCACCTCCGCATATAACTGTCCCTTGTGAATTGATTACCAGGTCAAACGTGTTTATAAACTGCCAGATCACTTCCCGGCGGGACGTATACATTAACTAATGTCACGTCATTTCCTTCTATTTTCCCTGTTATCTTAACAAACCTACCACTTGAACCTCTGATATATGTTCATAATTCAAAGTTTTTGAGATCAGGGTGGCCACTCCCCTCCTGTGGCCCTTTTTATAAGAAGAGGAGAAAACATGACCAAATCCCATCCTTCTTAATTCAGCATGTTCTGACTGGCTCATGTGTGCGCTCTCCCTTTTTAATTTTGACAGGATTTTACTCCTCTTTACTGGATTCAGAACCCCATTAACGTTAAAAGAAAGTACTCTTATGTGAGTGTTATGCATCTTAAACTGGCTGGTACAGTGATGGGCTCTCCTTTTACCTTAATGTATGTAAACAAACCTTTCTTAAAACAAGAACAGAACGATAATAACAAGAAGTAACACAGAATAGTATCAACATTCAACATGTTAACTTTTTTAAGAACTTCCAGTCTTGAGGTCATCTTGTAGACCTTAGCCACCTTTGAGGGATTTCCCGTGCTACCCAGAGGGTTTAGAGGGCTTTCTCTAACATTACCCATCATGAATAGCAAAAATACGACAATGTTTAGCCTCTTCCGACAGCATTTTAACTATTTAGTCTCGTCTAATAAATCTCTTACTTCTCTGAAATCCAACCACCTTTAATCAGGACCTAAGTAAACTCACTCAACTTATTTTACCAGTTTCAGTTCAGTCCTGCTCTCCAGTTCGCTCTCGACGGAGTACTTGCAGCTTCTCTTTGTAGCTTGCTGCTCCTTTGGGCCGGGTGTTGCGCCTCGCCCCGCCAGGCTGCCATGTCCAGCGCTGGATCCTCTCACGGAGTGACCGCGGTTGCGGGATGGCTTTGACCGGCAGACCCCGGTCCACCATGTCCGCAGTAGCCTCCTCCGCCGTATCAGAAATTTTAGTCGCGCCGGGTACAGGGTCTGGAACCGCGTATTATGATCCTTTAGAACTCTCCTCACCTCCGTATACTCTCTCCATCTGGTGACGATTCCCGGAGCGTCATCGTGGTCGAGGCTGATCTTGTTGCCCTCCCATACGAAGCCTTTCTTTTGCCAGGTCATTCTCAGCACATCCTCTTTCACTCTGTAGCTGAGGAACTCTACAAGGATCAGGCTGGGTCTGGAGCCGGCCGGAGGTTGTGGAGCTAGTGTGCGGTGTGCACGTTCCATCTGTAGTTCTGTTGTGGCCGGGATCTCCAGATTCTCTCGAAGCAGTTTTTCTACAAAAGAAATCACCAATCCGGGTTTCCCCTCCGCACCTTCTGGGACTCCATATATTCTCACGTTTTCCCTTCGTAGTCGGCTCTCCTGGTCCGTTAGCTTCGCTTGGAGCTGCTCTTGTAGTGTTAGCATATCTGCAAGAGTTTCCTCTGCGTTCTGCAATCTGTCTTCGGCCCCCGCGATTCTTGTCTCAGCCTTGTCTATTCAGGAATTAGTTTGGCTATTTCTCCCTTGATATCTTCCAGTTGTTGCCTGTTGTCTTGTCTGAACTCGCGTATCTCTTGAAGTAATAGACTCAGGTTCACTGGCTCTCCCCCACTGTCCATACCTTCGCTCTCGCTGTCGGCCATGCGGGAGCCAGTGGCTTCGGGGCTCCTTTTTCCGTCGATATTTCCACTATTCTGGTTGTGTTTCTTGTTTTTGCCTTTAGACGACATACTCTACCCCCTTTTTAAGTTACATAAATACACATCTTTGTTTTGGGGTAAAATTCCACATTTGTGTCGGGAGCTTATTAACTAAGCTGCCATCCTCATCTCGCTAGCCCGGAGGTCTCCTTACGAGTTATCTTGATTACCAATAATCCCAATAGTATTGACACAGGAAAAGACATATTGTTCAACTCCTAGTGATTAAAAAGAAATGAACAAAACCTACACATTCTAGTTTGTCCTTCCTCCACAGGTATGGGATTTCTCTAAACTGCATCAGCATGCCCTTCAGGTTGACGATCACCAAGGCACCCAAGACAGACTGCAGTCAAATCAGTATTAAAGGTATATATGAGAAAAAAACATACAACAAGCAAGAACAACTCCAATATATGAAGTAACATGACCAAAAAAAAAAAAAAGAATTCTTTCTCCCTATGAAGAATGTGAAACAACACTAACAACATACTCTGGCGTAGTGTAATAACAAGAGATGACTCACCCTGGGAAGTGGCTCGAGCAGGAAGCCAAGTGCTACTGTTACAATCATCGCCATTAGAGCTGAGATTAGCCCTGCAATCTGCATTTGTAAAAAGTTAGTGTTTCATTTTGAGATGCCAGTGAAATGATGTAAAGCAGACTTGTATATAAAGCAGTCTTTCAAAATATTTACTGTAAAATCATTTTACAAAGACATAAACAGGTAACAACCTAGCAAATGTTCATGACCCAGAAAACAGATGGTGTAAATAGTGAAGTTTTGCTTCTAGACCTGTGTTTTGCCTCCGGAGCTCTCCTGCACAGCACTCCTGGAAAGTGCTGTGCTGGCTGCAAATGACCTGAAGCTTGCACCAAATATGTTGCTAACTCCAAATGCAATCAGCTCCTAGAATGGAAAAATAATAAGTTAGATCATTGCTATGTTAGTAAAAAAAGTTACCTTTGTATTGACTTAAATGATTCTCTGGCTTTCTTCATGCACCCCATGACGGTTCACATCCTATCGTGACATAAATGCAATACTCGACTTTCTTATGAGGACTGGTATCAGTAACCAATTAAATCTAACAGGGCAAACATAGACAATTACATATGTAACTGACCTGGTTGCCATCAATGGTGTAATCATGTTTGATAGAGTAGACTTTTGCCACAGAGAAGGCCACAGCAAACCCGACAATGGCTATAGGGAAGGCCTCCACAGCACTCTCCTGGAGGACTTGTATGCTGGGCGGGATGGGAGACTCATACCTGAAAGTGTTTGTTTGTGCATTACATTGTCTAAATTATTTAGTTTGGAACATCAACTAAAATATTACAGTGGAGAACTTCAAACTTACCCACTAACCATTTTGCCAACAACGTCAACATCATATCTTGTCTCAAAGTTGAAGCCGTAGGACACCCCACAAGCGATGACAGTCTGTTTAAATGAAAACATACCAAAGAATCTTTAAAGGTTGTGATATTCTACACTTATTGTCAATATAGTTTGTCCTAAACCAACATTGTGTTAGTTCATCTCTCCATGCTTTTCTGACTTCCCAGCCCTGTCTGTGAAACTTAGCCTCAAGCCCACAGAAGACATATCTCCTTAAAAGCTAGCCACAAATGTTTTTTTGTTTTTGTTGTTGTTTTTTTCATTTTTAAAGAAGTAATTTGCTTTCAATAATTATGGATACTGTAGTTTCGTAAGAAATGTTACTCAAACAAAGGAAATTGTGTATTTGTTTGGGACTATTTTCAGTTGTGGATTGACATGTTTTTTGTATTCCAGGCAGCAAGATGGTAATAAAGGAATAACTTACCCAGTGTAAAAATATTTTGGACAACATGGAGCTCTGTGGCACAGAGGAATAATATCTGTCCGCGTTTAAATACATGCAGAATACCTGTTGTTAGTGGAATCAAATCATTGTTGGTTGTGGTGTTTTCATGGTATATATACCATGAGGAGAAGTAAAAAACCAAGCATATTTGAGAAAAAACAGATTTTTGTGCCATTGGCAGGTGTTGGTATCCATCCATAATGGTTAAAAATCTGCTTGTAAAGAACTCACACAGTGTTCTTTACCTAAGTCACTGCTGGTGCATGGTAATCCACTTATTTTTAAAACTACTCCATCAAAATTCACATGCTCCTTTGTTTTTCACGGCTATCTAACCAGACAATGATGGTTTTAACTTTGGCAAAAATAAATTAAGGTAGAGCAGTATGAAAACAATGGCTTGCTTGCAGAAATGTTGTAGTTAATAAGTTAGCTCATACAGGAGTAGTATCTTTACGATTTTCCTTACCATAATAACCTCTATGGGTATGGGAACAGCCAGCTTGGCTTTGTATAGGTCATTTAGCTCCTTCACAATGAACACCACCACCATGATCAGTATGGACATCACCAGGTCACAGATGTTGGTTGAGGTGATCTGAACAAAGATCTCCTCCAAAGTCTGCGCAAGAGGAGCACAGAAACATGTAAATATCTGATACCGCTAATGCAGAGTTTTATAAGTTCGAACATTTTGTGCTTTTCAAAACAGTCATAAGCATTTGTAAGCAATTTTGGATTATAAAAACCCATTTGGCCTCTGTTTTGTTATATTTGAATAATCTGAAGATGGTTTGACCAACAAAGAGCTGAATATCCAGTCTTAAATCGATCAACTAACAATGTGTTAACTTGACCTCTTGAGACTTCATTGGCTGAATTTCGATATGACATCCTGCAGCGTAGCAGTTAAATGATCTGCTATGTGATAGAATTTACAACACACTTTGATGAGGCAAATCCCAAGGTTAAGCACATGAAGATACTGCCAAAATCATTAAAAAGGCCATATAAAAGAAAACTGCCACAGTATAATTTGATAAAACATTTAACACACTTCAATTTGGTCCCCAGTGTAGCATCTCCAGGTTGCTTCAATACATCAGTTGATGTTGTTTGAACATAAGGCAGTAAAAAATATCTAAGCATTATACACAAACAGGGCGGCACAGTGGTGAAGTGGCTAGCAATCCTGGGTTCAAACCTTGGCTGGAGCCATTCTGTGTGGAGTTTGCATGTTCTCCCTGCTGAAAGCTTTGCTTTTTATGTCCCCGTTTTATTGAGATATTTACTTGTGAAGCATTGGTAACAAGCTACAATGAGGAAGTGTGGCATTTTATTTTTGTTTTTTATTTCAGTATAAGTTACCTAGTCATCTTGTTAAATGACAGTTCCTTATTGAGAAAAACACCTTTGGCCTTATTATTGTGCGTGTACCACTGCCCTATGCATGTGTCAGCAGCATGCTGAGCAGGCCTTGTTGGGCCAAAAATTGTAATCTGAGGGTACAACCATTCCCTGTCAACTGGAGTTGACCGACAAAAAAATATTTTTTTTGAAGTTCCAAATCTGTACAGTAACAATTTTCCTCAGACAGAGAAAGGGACCACATAAAAAAGATGGCATGGCAAACTTACATACTCAGCTACCAGGTTTGTTACAAAAACTCTGTGAGTCTCTGATATATACAAACTGCAAGAAGCACTGATGTTGTAGATAAGGCAGGGTGTAGTGAAGCACAGTTCCGTCTAGACTTACAGAATAATAAATACTGTTTCAACCAAATGGGAATGTGGAAGACTTCCTGTTTTGTTGTGAATATGACTGAAAGACTACCCAACTGCAAAAATCAAGTTTTTTGTTTTTTTTTTACTTTGTTAACATGATGTTTCCCTAATATTTTAGAAGAGACATCACGAGAGAACAAACAACTAACTCTGTGGCTGGGCATTTTTAAGCAGCAGTGTACTGAAGTGTACCGATGACCACCTCAGAAACACAGACTTCTGGGTTAAATGCATAATGAACCTAAGGGACCAATCCTGTTAAACTTTGGGACTTTCTATGTCATTATTCTTCTTCAGATTTGGTTACTAGTTTAACAATGTACATCGAAATTACTCAAATATTACAACCTGCCAGTGACTAGCATACGATAGATTTGCAGTGCTTGAGCAGAGTTATAGAGCTGGTGTGCTCCATGTGCAGCAAAAGTGGTGGGATGGGTGGAGAGAGGGACAGTGACTTTAAAGATCTACACCTTTCAACGAAAACTGCTTTGTAGAGTTACATCTTATGTAACTCTACAAAGCATGTTCAGGCGGGCAGGGAGATTGTGGCAGTAAAATCTTGCGATGCTTAACTGTAAAAGTAACAATCTGATGTTAATAAGAACTCATCTTTTCAGAACAACACTATGTGGGATGTTGCTGTCGTTGTTGTTTCTACATTTAAGATGTCATACATACTTAAAGCTACCGTAGCCTGTCCTCTCTCCTGATTCTTCCCTATTCTCCTGAGTGATGAAAACACTGGAAGCAGTCTACATCTGCTAGTTAAGCAATAATTTAAGATCAGATCAGACATATCTTGGTCTTACATATATGGCAGACAGTGGACCACTGATCCCTGGAACATTCAATCCCAACACAAACTTTAGCTGGGACACCAAGATGTGAATAGCAGCTGCTGTGGTGAAGCCAGAAACCAAAGTGTCCGACAGATACACCACAATAAAGCCCACCTGCAGAATTCCCATGGTGAGCTGCATGGAGAGAAAGCAGAGAGAAAACAAGCCTGGCGTGAAAAGTCTTCTGAGAATATACAGAATCACTGGTAGGATCCACAGAATGAAAAAAAAAAAAATCTACTTGGAAAATCCCCATGAGGAATGTTACAGAGGAAGCCACCAGGACTCTCTGCTGGTCCTGGGTCAGACCCTCAAAGTCTGTGATGTTGGCTGGAGGTCCAACCTCTGGGACCAGGCGGGTCACCACAGCTCCCACCATCAGGCTCAGGACTGGGAAGGAGCCTGCGGAGAAGGCGGACGTGAAGCGGAGGAAAGCCGCTGTTACACTGTTTGCAACTGAGAACTGGTTCTCAAACATTTTTACCTGGTAAAATAAAGGTAAAATAAAAATAAATGTAAAAACACCTGGCTGCAGCATGAAGAATATGGTAGTCTAAATGAATCAACTCCCCCAGTCATATTAATGTTAATGTACCTAGACGTTCAAGCAGAGGGGGAGGAGTCTTTGTCTCAGGCCTTGTCCACACGTAGCAGGGTATCTCACAAAACGAAGATATGTTTCTACGATGTGGCCTGTCATCCACACGAAAACGCAGATTTACGGCATTAAAATTGATTCTTTCAAAAACCTCTGACCAAAGAGAAGATCTGCGAATCCTCCGTTTATGCATGTGGACGTCAATAACCGGGATTTTAGGTTTCGAAACGTCACTGCCTGCGACAAAATATGTTCTTTACACCACATACACGACCTGTGTTTACATTTGGAAACAGTGTGGACGCCCTCAGAACTGTGTTGGTGTTGTCTCTGGTCCAGGTCCAGATACCGCTCCACGTACAGGAACACAGGCGAAGGACGCCGTTCAGGACGGTTATTTTCCGCCACCTCGCCATTCCACGTCTGAGGCATGTTCTCCGTCAAAGATACAGACGCGGGTTTTGGGTCAGACGGGGACGCACTGCCAGCTGGTGGGAGAACTTTGAGATGGAAATTGTGCTCCAGGATGAATGGCGTGACAATTTCCGTATGTCCCGATCGTTGCTCCCGTCATCAGAGTTATTACATCCTCACGTAGAACATGAATGTGCTGAAAAACGTACTTGTGCGGTTAAGGTGTGGATGAATTTTTTTCTAAAAATGAGGTGGTGTGTACGGCAATTTTCTTCTAGATGGAGGGGGAGGATATTCTGTTTTACAAAAACTCTGCTAGGTGTGGACAAGGCCTAAGTCTCACACACTTGAATTGGAAAGCACAAAAAACAGTTCTGTTAGGAGTAGTATATCGGCCACCAGCCCCCTACTCTGAGTTTCTATCTGCATTCTCAGAGTTCTCAGCTGACTTAGTGCTCAGTACAGATAAGGTCATTACGCGGGTGACTTTAATATCCATGTAGATGATGAGAACGACAGCCTCAGCTCTGTATTTAGTTCATTGTTAGACTCAGTTGGCTTCTCTCAGAATGTCAATAAACCAACTCATAGTTTTAACCCTTGATCTTGTTCTGACACATGACACAGACATTGAACATCTTACTGCCTTTAAACAAAACTCGATCCTCTCTGATCATTTTTAATAACATTTGAATTTACAATAATGGACTATGGAACACCTACCAAAGAGTTCATTACAGCAGATGGCTATCTGAAAATGCAGTTATTAAGTTTAAGGAAATGGTTCCATTATTATTCACTTTAATGCCAACACCATGGAGAGCAGCTCCTCGAATCTTAGTTCAGACAAATTCAGAAGAATCTCAGTTAGCCTGGAAAGATAGCTTCCTAACCTATAAAAAAGTGATCCGCAGGATGAGAACTGCTTATTATTCATCTTTAATTGAGGAAAACAAGAACAACTCCAGGTTTCTGTTCAGCACTGTAGCCAGGCTGACAAAGAGTCACAGCTCTGTGGAGACTTGTTTCCTTTAGCTCTCAGCAGTAAAGACTTTATGACCCTCTTCACTGATAAAGTTTTGAATATTAGACAAAAACTTGTTAACATTTCTTTAGGTGCAGCAGTTCTGGATGCATCTATTGGATCAGATTTATACTTGGACTGCTTCTCTGCTGTAAATCTGTCAGAGCTCACGTCGATAGTAAATTCTTCTAAACCAGCGACATGTCTGTTAGACCCAATCTCAACTAGACTGTTCAAGGAAATATTTCTTCTAATTAATACTGCAGTATTAAATATCATCAACTTCTCTATGTTACCAGGCTACGCTTTTAAAGTAGCTATAATAAAACCACTACTGTAAAAGCCTACTATAGATCCAGGCGTTTTAGCAAACTATAGGCCTTATATTCAGCCTCCCTTTTATTTCTAAAAGTCTTGAAAAAGTTCTTGCAGCCAATTATGTGATTATCTGCATAGAAATGGTTTGTCTGAAGAGTTTCAATCAGGTTTTAGAATTCATCATAGCACAGACACAGCACTGTTGAAGGTCACTAATGATCTTCTTATGGCTTCAGACAGTGGACAAGTTTCTATAGTCGTTCTGTTGGATCTCAGTGCTGCATCTGTGGATCACAGCATCTTATTACAGAAACTGGAATGTTCAACTGGGCTTAAAGGAACTGCACTAAATTGGTTTAAATCATATTTATCAGATAGATTCCAGTTTGTTCATTTAAATTCAGACAAAACTGAAGTTATTGTACTTGGCCCTAAACACCTCAGAAACACACTATCGAACCAGATAGCTACTCTAGATGGTATTGCCTCGGCCTCTGCTGTAAAGAACCTTGGAGTTATTTTTGACCAGGACATGTCGTTCAATAGCCATATAAAACAAGTTTGTAGGACGGCCTTCTTTCATCTACATAATATTGCGAAACTCAGGAACATCAGGAACACATGGGTTCTCTGTTTGAATTCATAATGTCTAAACCTTACTTTGTTAAGTGCTGTATGACATATGTTGTTAACTGCACTATACAAACAAAAGATCCATAACTTTTCCAAACAACCGCTGTAAGTGACATTTTTATACTCAACAGCAGAAAACCTGTTTTATTTCTTGGGGCAGTTTGTACAGAAGAAATTGCATGACATACCTACAGATATGTGTCGTGAAGTTCCGAGGAAGAAGTATATGAGCACAGGGAAGAAAGCTGTGTAGAGACCGTAGCTTGGAGGCAGCGAAGCCAGCAGAGCGAAGGCAAGTCCTGGGAGACCGAAGCAAAACACACACACAATTAAGATTTAAGTTGTAGTAGCCCAGAATTATTTCATATAACATGAATAAAATAAAAAATAAAATAAAATAAGGAATTAGGAAAATGTTAATATGCTTGTGAAGTGTTAAATAACTGTCACATTTGCACAACTATTGTTTCATAAAATGGTTGCTAAGTTTCAAAGAATAAGCTAATTCTGTTGGTAGGTTAGCCAGCAATTTCTGAAATTTAATTTAGACCTTTACATTGGCATTTGACCAAAATAAGAAAATTAAGAGTCTGCAGGCATGCTAGCAGCTCTGTTAGCACTTCAAGGGAAATGCTAATGGGATTTTTATGTTTAACATGTTCACCAGCACTTCAGTGTATTAGCATGCTAACATTAGCTAAGTTGACGTAATGTATAGTAAGCAAAAATATCAACACAGCATGTAATATTTCATTAAATTTGATAAGCTTTTATAACATAGGGGAATAAGTATTTGTTGTTTCAATACAAAACATCTCCACAATAGAATGGAGCAACCAAGTCCAACTGTACTGTAAGAGACAAAGGGCAGATGGGAAGTGGGGTCATAGGCCAGAAATCACATGTCAGCCATGAGTGTGTCTGCCTTTAGAATCATGTAGTTTCACACATCTGTGATTCACAGAGGTAATAAGGCTGTTGATGCTGCTTGTGGAATGTTGTCCTGCTCTTCCTGATGGGGTATGTGAAGTTAGCAGACATTTTTTGGGGGACGGGACCACGTTGTTGGACACATATGTAGACCATAGTGGGACTAGAACATATTGGGCAGCTACAAAGGCAGTGCTTATTCTGGCCACACGAGGATGCCTATTGTCTCGTTGAATCACCAAGCAATTGTGGTGACTGAATACAATAACTGTGGCTCTGAGGATTTTATCTCATTAATGTTGGGCACTGAGATTGCCATAACTTTTTCTGTAAGTCAGAAAACGAGACCACTTGCATACAACATTTTTACATTTGTTTAACTGTTTTTAATTTTGAAGATATTTGGTCACAATCTAGAAAAATTATATAAAAATGAACATTTTCACGGTTTATTTTATTCATAGTATATTCATATGCTTAGGGAATTGTAATGAAGCTGATCTTCATTACCTATAGGAGTTGACATTCTGGGATAAATTTAATAAGACACCAGACAATGACAGTGTGATGAGTTTAATGAGTAACTTTGGGGCTAACATGTGCTGCCATGTGCTGTTTGATGGCTTCTCCTCACAGCACTGGATGAAAACCCTGGTGAGGCCTACAAGACAAAGAAAACAGTTTCAGTCACATGATTAAGTGATTGGACTTAATTAATAACTGAATGACCATGGGTATGTGGCATTATTTTAAGAATGTGTGAATTCAAAAGTTTGTGATGACTCACCTCTCTTTTGTCTCCTCAGGTGTTCCAGCCAAAAGAGTCCCCCATGGGCTGGAACACCTTTTTAAAGGTTCCGGGAAAAAGCAAGTGTAGATGAGGACAGAGGGGATAGTAATTTCTTCAGGTGATGAAATAGATACCTTGTTTGATGAAGATGTCAGCAGTTGTTATTAGGAAATAAATACTTAGTCTTAATGTTTGTTATTATAGTTAAAAGTAAAGAGATATTGTATTTTTGTGTATTTCTTGTGTTTGACTATTTTAGGTTAACCCTTATGTTGGTAGGCCTAAGGGGCTGATTAGGGGGCTGCCTTTAAAAAAGCTGGCAGTTCAGTGAGCAAGAGGAGAGGGAAGGAGTGCTACAATATATGCCACCAGTTGCCTTGCTTTCGTTTTTTGGTTTGCTGTTTGCATCTTGTTTTTGTAATGTGAGTGTCGGTGAATAAACACCCGGTTGGTCTACACCTTATCTCGCCTCAAGTCTCCTGCTTTATCCAACCGGAAAAACGGTCATCCTAACGGGAATCATCCATCCATCCATCCATCCATCCATCCATCCATCGCTTAATCCTCACTGGGGTCGTTGGGGGGGTTGGAGTCTATCCCAGCCGACTTAGGGCGAAGGCAGGGGACACCCTGGACAGGTCACCAGTCTATCACAGGGCTACACTTAGAGACAGACAACCAAGCACACTCAAATTCACACCTACGGACAATTTACAATCACCAATTAACCTCAGCATGTTTCTGGACTGTGGGAGGAAGCCGGAGAACCCGGAGAGAACCCACGCTGCACGAGGAGAACATGGAGACTCCACGCAGAAAGATCCCGGTGCCCCCACGGGGACGCAAACCGGCGACCTTCTTGCTGCGAGGCGACGGTGCTAACCAACTGCGCCTCCTTGCAGCCCTGTTAACAGGAATCATGCCATACTACATTAAGATTGCAGCTTCCTTCAAATATCTGATGCAATGTATAACCACACTGTATGTAATTGGACAAACTACATCATATCCAGCACATCCATACTCATAGTTGAAAATCAGCGAGGGTCGTTATCAATCTTGATTTTAAGAAGTTTTTTAAAAAATTGTATTGGACCCTCTTCACTTAACAAAAGCTGTTAACCGACATGATCTGTAGTTTCTGTGTAGTATTTTGTTTTATTGTCTTATCTTTTATGCAAATCTGTGCATTTAGCAGATGTTTAATTTGTAACGGTCTGTCAAGGCTACTTCTATTATTCACTTTTTTGTGTGGAATTGATTGAAGTTTGATTTTATCTCAAACTAGATTTTTACAATACCGTGGCAGAGTTAGGTTGACCTTACAAGCAGCCATACAAATAGCACAGCCAGACACAACACATTTTAAAGTTTACAAAGATCCGGATTTTACAAGATAAGTATCTAATCAAAGATCATTCAGGGCCAAATTGAGTGACAGTGTGTTACAAGTTGTATTCCATAGTCAGCAATTTCTGTTTGTTGGTAATATTTTGTACATTGCAAATCATGGAACCAGAAATGATCATACGGTTTCTTACCTTGCATGATGGCCACCAACCCGGTGCTGACCCCAGACACCACATCTCCCAGCAGCCACTCTCTAACTCTGTAGATTCTCATCCAGCTAATGATGGGCAGGAGAGACAGCACTGCATTCTTGGCCCGTTTTGAGTCACAACTGTTTTAAATAGCAGGGAAAAAAGTAACAGTAAAGAAATTTCTTTTAAATATTAAATTATGTCAAGTCAAAGACTGTAATTGTGAGGATCCAAGGTGCACTTACGTCAGATAGTCTTTGACATGGTTAAGGATGGTTTTGTGCTTCCTGTAGATTTTCTTATGCTGTTCAGCAAAGCTGTCCTCAGAGTACACTGGTCGGGTCACCTCGTACTGTTTTCTCATAGCTGCCATCTTCACACCTCAGGTATCTGAAGAGTCCAACTCCGGTAAAACATAAAACACTCAGCTCTGTAGCAGAACCTTTGCCCAGCATATCTAATCTGAGATCATCTCATCACTCTGACAGTTTTGTCTTGGATCTGTTCAATCATTAACGCAAGCAGGTTTATGATTCTTTTTGGTAATGTATGCCATTTAATTTTCTTGTCCTCTTTTTTGATTCAGACTGAGGTTATGGATGAGAGGTGATCTCACATATTGAAAAATATTTGTCTTAGTTGTTTGATCATTGCAATTTTCTCCTCTTTTCACTCTCTTCACATTCAGTGATACGGTGGTCCAAACTTCAAGTGCATTTACTGAACTTTAGTTTTCTCGATACTATCACACAGAAAGCACAGTAAGATATATTTCAGCTGTATGTGCCTGCCCATTCATTGGTAAGTCACATGTAAAAGGACACACTCTTCTAAAAAAGGATCAAAACCAACAAAGTAATTTGGGACTTCCCTACTCTGCCAAGTTCAGTGGTTCCTTAAAACAAAATGTAAATCTAAATGTCCTCAACACACACACA